AAAAGTCATTACTGGGAAACAGTAGCCAGTCCTTTGGGCAAAAAGCTAGCACTTTACAAAGCTGCACAGCCAGGTCTTCCATTTTTAAGTTGTAATAGCAGAAGCTGGTTTAAAAAAGGAAAAAAATTGTGTTCCCTAGAAGGCTGCAAGCACTTATCCCAGTTAAATTACTGAGATGGCATAGAGCTTTTCCACTTTTGTAGTGAGTATGAGTCAGACTGTTGTGCAGGCTTCTGTACTTGAGTCTGTGCTTTAAAAATAGAAAAAATAGTTGTGGAAAGTAGCTGTTAGGTACAATATTTTTACTTTTTTAATCATACTTGTGGAGACAGCAACTGGGGCTATGCTTTGGTTTTCTGCCTCTGCCACGTCCCATCTGTTTTGATGATGCAAGATGACTAAAACCAATAAACTGTTGTTGCCCTTGCTCTGTGAAACTACTAATTATTTAGTGAAACTCTTAACCTTATACGGGATGCAAACAGGATACCTGAGGTGTCCATTTTGGCCTGCATAGTGTTTTTAGTGTTCAGAGATTCCTGTGTTTGGCACACAAACTATTGGGCCATTTATTGAAGAGTTAAATCATATATTAAGGTCATGCTGGTGCTGTAGTGTGGCACATGTCTTGAAGCCAGCTGTGACCCCCCCCCCCACTGTGACTGCCCTAGCTGTGCCAGCACACTGCTCACTCCTACCTCCTCAGCTCCTGGAGAGAGCAGCTAGCCCATGTTGAGCTCTGCAGTGCGGAACCTATGTAATCTGTTACAATTGCAATCAGCCTGCATTATAGTAGTTATTTTTAATAAAGATTTGTCTAAGCAATCACTTTATTTTGCCCTTCGGCAAAAAAGCTACTGTAAATGCTTGTTTTAGCAAGGCTTGAATTGAACGCAGTGAAATAGTGAGACTATCCTGTCCCTAATTCTGTGAATTTAATTCCACAAATACCCTTATAAATTTCTCTTATGGCTTGCTAACCCCCTGGCACAGCACATCCCAGGCTTTGGATAATTGTGGCATGTTTGTTCTAGGTTATTAGATCTTCTTCCTGACCTTTTTTTTTATAACAGCAGGCTATCACATTAAGCAGAAGTTTAAAAGGGATAATGATGGAAGGCTTCAGAGCAGAAAAAGAAACAGTTTTGCTTGCTCAAGAATCCTTTATTTCTGCTCCTTTTGTGCTTTGTCTTACATCAGTTGTCTTGGTACAATAGGGCAAATCCTTGGCAAAGCTGTGGTTCTAAACACAACTAGCTCAACAGTCAGCATCAGTAGAAGGGAACAGCAGCCTTTCTAAACCTCATACAATTGAAAGGACTCTAAAAATACTTGTAATAAGTTCACAAGGATTACTGTTATCAGCCATTTACAAAAACATACAGACACGATGTCTTCAGTATTTCATGAGCTGATTTCAGGTATGAAGTTAGTGCCTCTGTGGAAACATTACAGGTAAATTTATTTTTGCCTTCTGCTGTTGCACCTATTGGTGTTACCTGTTGTTGTTTCCACACTACTTTGCTTTGGCATCCTGCAATAGGAACCAGGTTTGATATGGCCCATTCCAACACAGGGCTTTAGACACTTCTGTTCATAGCAGTAAGTGGATTATACAATATGCATTTAACTAAAGCTAGTTCAATAAAACCACCACTAATCCAGAATGCTGGTGGTGCTCCATGCTTTTCCAGAACAAATGATCTAGTATTCTCTTCTTGAGACACAAGTTGATTTATTTGAAAAATTACTTGCTGTCTGCTTCCTTGGCTGTGACTTACAGGGTTCATCTTCAGTCAGGTGACCACAGTGCAGTAGCTAAAAAGCATGACATACTTCTCATAATTATCAGCCAGATGTAGGGTACTCATCAGCCACAACAGACTGCCCTCTACCATGGGTTTTGTACTTCTCTAGGAAGCCCAAGCTCAATTATAACAGTCCATGGAAAGAAAAATGAAGGAGTATGAATTACTCCACTGCAACAGCCTTTAGGCAACCTCTGAGTAGTTTAGCTGTACAAGTAGAAACATTCCAGTTAGTTGCAAATGCTTCACCAAGGGAATGACAATTATATTTAGCTTTGTCAGCATTTTTATTTTTTTCTTAAAAAGTCAGTACTTAAAAATAATTGAGATAAAACATTTCCCCTTGTGTACTGCCATAAGATTTCTGCTCCCCATACATCTCTTAGAGAAGTCTTGTGTCTGGTTTCAAGAACAAGGGCTGTGCTATAAGTACCGATCTTGGCTCCATCTGCTGCTACACAGTAGCTGCTGCCCGCCTTATACACGGCCTACAATGCCCTGTCACTTAAGGTGGGGAACCCACAACCCTTTTCCTCAGCAGCCAAAACTGTTTGGAAACACAATTACTCACACTTGTTAGAGGCTGAAGCTTAGCAGAAATACTTCAACGCAGAGAAAGCTGATGGGTGGGTTAAAGAAGCCCTGAGCAGGCAGGGAAATAAGGGGGGCGGGGGACTTTTTCTTTCTTTTAAACATAAAAGAGGATACAGTTGTACGATCACTTTTCAAGAAGTAATACAAGGAGAATGAATGTGTTGGAGTAGAATAATAGAAAAGTGGGGAGATGGGGCAGAAACACTAAGAATTAAGCCATTATTAAACAAAAATGTGGCATTTTGAAACACTGATATCAAAACTATCATCTCAACTGAAGCTAAACATTAATGACCCCTAACTTCCACTTTCCTGTTCCACACACATTTAAACTCATGGGCACTTAGACCAACAGTCTTTCTATAGCTTGCTGGACAGACTGGATCTGAGGCTTTAGCTGTGATCCCTCCTTGATGGTGATGGAGCAGGCGATGACAGGCCGGGAAACGCCACACGCCCGGCCCAGGGCTTGCTTGGACCGCACAAACACATAAGGTACGTTCTTGTCCTCACAGAGAAGAGGGAGGTGCAGGATGATCTCCAAGGGCTCTGCATCTGCTGCCATCACAATGAACTCCGCAATCCCTCTGTTCAGTGTTTTGGTGGCTGTAAAAGAAACTGAAGAGTCAGTCTAAGTCCTTCTGGAAAGCACATCTAATGAAAAACAACTTTAGAAGATGCTGAAATTGGTATCAGTGGGAAGGAGAGCTCAAGGTAGCAGGAGGACAGCCAAAGGAAAGTGGTAGCTGTAGGGCCAGGGAAGGGGTTATTTGCAGGGCTGCTGGGGTGCTGTGCCCAGCACTGCCCTCAAGTGCAGTTGAGAGATTGACAAAGAAGCAAGGCCAGCCCAAGGCTGCTGATGGGTACAGGGTTGGAACCCACCATGAGGGGAGATTGAGGGAGCTGAGTTGGTTTAGCCTGGAGAAGAGAGGGCTGAGGTGGGAGTGGGGGCAGCATGGCTGCTGTCTTCTACTTCAGGGGGATTGCAGACAAGACGAAGCCACACTGTCCTTGTGAGTACACAGGAAAAAGCACAAGTTGCAGATTGTGACTGTTGCCTCAGTGAGATTCCAAGGGCATAGCGTAATTTTATATCCCCCATGCCATGAGAGGTGTTTAAGCCGTGGGACATGGGTCCTAAGAGAATACTGAGTTTCTATCCTTAGGGATTATGGTTTTTTAAAAAGTTTGACTAAGCAAAGCCCCAAGCAACTGTGAAGGGAGCCACTCCCTGAGCAGGCTGCACTAGAGGTACCCTTTAAATGCAAATCATTTTATGATTCTGAAGTGGCTAGACATCTGGTAATCCCAGTGCCACACCACTGAAGTATGCGCGATCTAGGACATGCACCAGGAACACAACTTAGAAATCTACCAGAACCGCACATAAATGTTGAAAAGATTACAACTTAATTCTGTCTCTGAAATATTGCTTAAGCAAGCTTGAAGGAGGAGGAAGAAGACACACACTTGCAATAGCCAGATCAATATAGAATGAGTGGTTCACAGCTAAAGAGAAAAGACTGTCTCTAGCCACAGCATCATCTCACAAAATCCTTGCAATGACTTCTAGCACACTTTGCAACACACAGGTCTCACCTTCATTGGCTCCCTTGCGTAGCTGCTTATAGTTGCAGGATTGCTGCACAAGATCCAGCAGTGTTTTGGTGAGCTGTGCATCAGCCAGCGGGTAAGCTTTGGGATTCACTTCTGCCTCACTCTAGAGAAAGAAAGTAGTAAGTATTACAACAGGAGCAAAGGGGGCTTTGTTCTGAGCAACACTGCACAGGCATCATGTCTATGACATACACTGATTAGTGGAGTCATATCACTGCTCTGCACATACAGCAGAAACTCCACTGCATAAATAAAGGGGATAAATAAGAAACATATCCCTCATATCAAAGTAAAGAGCATCTCTACTCACACATTCACACCCGACAAACCAGCAACAGTGAACTCACAGGGCAGTCTTCAGGCGTTCGCTACCACAAAGACTACATAAAACGAAGCGTTTCAGTGCACAAATTAACAATCTGATATAGGTTTTAAAGAAACTCCCAGGAGAGCACGTATCAGGTTTATTTCCGCAAATCAGAAGGAGCTTCTAAACGTGACCATCAGTGGTGGGACGGAACAGCAGCGAGGTCACAAGCGGTGTTGGCGGCCGACGCTGGCAGAACCGCGGCCCGTCCGGCCGGGGGTGACCCAGACGCCGAGTGTCCCGTCACCAGGTGCCCCCAGCACCGCCAGCGCCGCGGGTTCCGTCCCCCCGCCAGCAGCCGCACCCCGCCCGGCCTCCACGTGCTGCCCGCCGCGCGGCCGGGGAGGTGGCGACCCTCCGCCCCGGGCTCCCCGGAGGAGGAGGGGGAGGACAAGGAGAAGGAAAAGACAAGGAGAAGAGAAGGAGAAGGAGGAAGAGGAGGAGGCGAAGGCGGAGGCCAGGCCCCGACGCCACTCACCATGGCCGCGGCGCGTTCACTGCTGTGTGCCCGAGCGCGCTGCGGGGGAAGAGGCGGGAGCGATCCCGCCGCCGCCGGAAGGGAGGCGGGCCCGGGGCGGCCCCGGCGCGGAGCCTCCACCCACCCCCGGCGGGGCGGGGCCGGGCGGCCGGCCCGGCAGCTGGGATGGCGGCGGGGGGCGCGGGGCCCTGCGATGGGCACGGGGTGCGCTGGGCGCTGCCGCTCCGCCCGCCGCTCTGCCTCGCCTGCGCCGTGGAGACCCTGGGCGACGGCAGCGCCTCGGTGGGCAGCGCCTGCCCCGCCGCCCCTTCCCTTGTGCGGCCGGGCCGCGGAGCGCCCCCTCAGCGGCCCCCGCCCCGCCGCCGGGGCTGCCGCTCTCCTGCGCTGCGCTTGCGGCTGGGGCGCGGCCGGGGTGGCCCTGGGCCAGGCCCGTCACCTCAGCACCGGGCCCTGGTGGCCCTTGACCCCTCCCCGGGGTGGTGGGAGCAGCGCAGGGCTCGGGCCCAAGGGCTGACAGGCTACTGTCTTTGATCCGTAGCTGGTGCGCAAGAAGCATGTCCTGTCCCGTCTCCAGGATGCCCTGGCCTGGCAGGCGCTGCCAGTCGTCCAGCTGCTGGCACCAGACGAGAGGGTCTGCATGCATTTGATAGGAACTCTCTTTGGTAAGAGCTCTGCTGAGCCCTAGTGCAGCAGCAGGGAGGAGGCAGTTAGGTTTTGTTAGAGGTGTGAAACTTCACATTTGAAGCAAAAAAAAAAAAAAAACCCAAGCAAAAGAATACTGAGGTGCCTACCTCTTCCACCATTCTGTTAGGTGTGTCATTACTCCCTGGGGAAAGCTACCTGTCACTGATTTAGAATAGATTAATTAATTTCTTCATTCCCCAAGGAGTAGTATTAGCATGTTCATAAAGCTCTTGCAGCTTTCCAAAGTATCTAGACATATCTGTAAAGTTTCTTTCTGGAGAACAGGGGGTAGCTGTGCTATGACTCTTCCCTGAATGCCCTCCATTCTGGTCTCATGCCTCAGGGTTTTCTCATCGTGCTGAACTGTGGAGTTCTTTGAAGATTCATATAGAAATGAAAGTGTGAGGTTAAAAAGGTGCTGCAGGATTTAATATTGACTCTGCAAAATGCAAATCTTCATAGTGGGTTTTCACACCATCACTTTAAATCTCTACAAATCCTGTAGCCATACGACTGTTACACCTGCTTCTTTCTGGTGGGTCAGCCTTACAGCAGAATAGTGTCAGAAAATGCCTTTCCAGTAACAGTCTCTGTGATCTTGAACATCTCTTACTGGTTTCTGTTTGCATAGCAGTGGTGTGGGAAACATTTTGAAATGTCCTCTAAAATCTTGGATGGAGAAGAAATAATGGTCTAAATGAGGGAACAGTAAGGCAGGAAGAGAAAGGTGGAGGATATGAATATGAGTGCCTTCAAAGAGCAAATATACCAGATTCCTTTAATTCCACTATCTCTTTTGCATATCACAGATAATTCTTGTTCTTTTGGGGGAAAGTGACTTACAAAACCCTTTCCCTGCCTTGAAACACTGAATAATTCAAACTGTTTTCCTGGTTGTTTTCCCACAAATTGTGTTTTGCATGTTTTGGAAGCATCTTTGTTAGAAACAGAACTTTGTGCAGGTTTAGTTCTCCCCACTGCACAAATTTTATTGAGTGCTGTCTGCACACATAATCCTATAGAGAAGTGAAGAAAGTGGTGCTTATAGCCAGTTTAGCTCTACATTGTATGGCCCTAACATGAAATAGCCCAGAAGACAGGGGAAATGTGCTTGCATTTCAGTGTTCGTCTGCTTTTAAATAATTCTCTCTCTAAGAAACTTTGTAATTGTTTTGAGTACAGCTTTGGGATTTTACTGTACTTGGTGTAACTCCTAGAGCAATTGGAATCCCAGTCTAAGCTTGAGGCTACAAACAATGGCATGTACCTTTTGCGTAGTACTTGGATGAACAAAGGATCATTTGGTGCAAGAGTATAAGAGGGACCCCCCAAAAGTTTGAGCAGTGCTGTGGAGGAAGTATTAATAGTGAATTCAGGAAAATACATTCTTTTTTTTTGAGAGAGCATATTGGGATAAGCACAGGCAGAAGAAAGAGGGTTAAGAGAAGAGAGGTATAGTGTGGAGTCTTACGTATGAGAAGGTGGCGAATTTCATGAAACTAATAATGCAACACTCCCTAATGCCATATACAAATAATTCCTAGAATTACTAAGGATTGGGCAGATGAGGAAGGAAATAAGTAATTTGTTCACCTGTCATAACATTGCTTTAGTTGGTCAAATTTCCAAGAGATCATGGAGTCTTCAGAGGAGAGGTCGTTCAGTGTGATTGGATATGTTGAAACAAGTGGTTTGGTGTGTTAGAAGAGGGAGTCTGAACTTGATGCTGTAGGTACCTGAAGTTGGAAGGAGCTGGGAGGTAGAGTTTCTTGTCTGCTGGGGTGAAGCAGGGGTTTATTTTAATATATCCAATCTTATGCTCTCATTGTACAAATAACTTAGGGTGTCTTCAAGGTCAATTTAATGTTGGGATAGTTTCCATATACTTTAAACCTGGTGTTCAGACTTGGTTTCAGGTTTTTCAGTACTGTGGAGGGAGAGAACTGTTCACAGTAATTAGTATAAATGGAGGATAGAAAGGACAGAAACTCACAGCTGGGCTTTAACTTCCGTCATTCCAGAGTGTTGTTTCAGATGTATAATATCGGATACACACAGTGAGATGTGGCGATGGCAGTAGTTACATATTCCCTAACATAGGTGGAGCCATTGACTTCAACTATAAAGTACATTAAAGATTTGCAAGAGAACCAAATGCCTCATGTCCCTGTGTCCTGCTTATGGAGGCACCTTTTGCCATACTCCCTGAGAGTATCCACCTTCCCCTGACAAAGTCAGGCTGGTGTCATGAGAAGCAGGGAATATGAAACAGTTCTGAAAAAAATTTACAGCTCTTTCTTACAAGAAGGAATTACAGCACTGGTGATACAAGCAGGAATGAGCTCCATGACCTATTGTGGTTTATTTTTTAGGGATGTTGCATACTGTGGAAGACAGTGGTGCCCTGGACCTGTTGGTAGAAGGTAAGAGACAGATGCCACATCTCAAGTACTGGCAGTTTCTGAACGGAGGATCTGTCTTGTCTGATAACTACAGTGAGATGCTCGGCTTCTACACAGCTTGAATGGGGAAGACCATCTACTGCCTATCTGTGCAACAGTAACAAGCAGTCTGTTCCCATTTTGTGGAGCAGAGGAGTGCATGCAGAATCAAACATTTAACATTTCTCTTACAGGTTCTGTGTGTGCCATGAATTTAGTGTCAGATGGGTAGCAGTGGTAAACAATGACCAAAGTCTCAGAGCAAATGGAAGTCCATGGGATCTACTGCTTTTTCCTCAGGACAAGAGGGTATTTGGGATTTAGCTGCACAGGCTGAAGATTCCTCTTTGTGAGGAGTCCCTAATTTGAAATCTGAAGGAAACATCTGCAGGGCTGACAAAGAAATCTCTGCAGTCCAGTTGACCTCAGACATCTCTGATGAGTCTAGTGATATTAGCAATGCAGTGATGCATTTCATGTCCAGCCATGAAAGGTGAAAGGAGGTGTGACAAGCTTTATCCAGAGGGGTTTTAGTTTTCAGACACTTGCTTAAAATGATGTTGAAAAGGTGAGAAGTCTTTCTGTCATGTTAGCAGTGTGTTGAGAGATGGATGTTCTCAAACAGAGGAATTTTAAATTAGTGTTACTTAACTCTTGAAAGCTTTTAGAGATTCTGAGAGTTTTGGGCAAGAAATGGCCATTAAACCCTCTATAAATCACATGTCTCAAGATATGATTCTGCTGAGATGCACAGCTCATTAGCTGAAGTAGTTCTCCTAGATAAACCTCCAGTATTGCCCTGGATATACCAAGAAATGGTGAACCCTGAAGTCTCTGGTACTTTTTTTTATGATGCTTTTCTAGGATACAAATCAAAAGTGTATGTTTTCCAAATGAGTCATGCCACGACAGCAAGATACATCCAAGACAGCCTTACCAAATCCTGTGGAACAATGTTCTGCACAGTGTCTCAGTAAAGGTGCTATTGAAAAAATTTATCTGCTGAACATTCAGGTGCCCAGTTGCAGAAGTACTGGAAGAGGAACTTGCTTCCTGAAACTAGTCTGGTGGTATATGTGTGGAGGCAGAGGCAGCCTGCCAGCATCAGGCAACTCCCTTGTGGTTTGCACATTCCAGGTGATATGCAACCAGTGCCTGGCAAACAGTTTCTTGTTGATTCCTCTTATTAGGACAGAGCTGACAGAGTTCTTAAAGTTTCAGTGAACCAAGAATAACGGCACTTGGGGCTGAGGAGGTGAACAGCACCACAAAGGTGACTGGGGCTTTGCTTTCTGGTAAGGTATATAGGATAACTGCAGTGGGGTGGAATGGCTGATAGACTTCACTCAATCTCAGGGACAGTAGTAGCTGGAGGAGGAGCTCTGACTCTAAGGATCCTCAGAAATTTCAATTCTGATATCTTGTCTGGAAAGATAAATTTTTTAAAGGCCAGTTTTAATACTGTAGGAAGCCTACTCTCTTCAATGACCAGAAATTTCAATGCTTTTGTAAAGCTAGAGCTTTGTTCCCTTCCAGGTTCCTTGCTGTCCTGATGTTCAGTTTATTGCTTGCAGTTCATTTCCATGCATGGTTTGTAGTGCAGCCAGAATGGGACTGCTGTAATGGTGCCACAGAGAGCTTGAGCCAGGCTATCAGAAGTAATAGAGCTGGGAATGCCAATGATACCCTGTTCTCGCAGCACCTCTGCGCTCATTTAATTTCTAAGCTCTTTGCTCACTGGTCTGCTAAAGCCCCGTGGAAGATGGATTGTGAGTGCTCTTGTGTGTGTATTACTGATCCTGTTTCTTCTGCCTAGTTCTGGTGCGGCTTGTGGTGGAGCTGAAGTCAGAACAGTACTTATGCTGCATTTTGAATGAAAGCCAAAAGGAGGTCAGTGAAGATGAATTCTCCTGCCCTTCCTCTCAGTCCTTCAGAGATTGAGAAATGAGTGACCCTGCAAGACTGCAGCTGCTGCACTGGGATGTAGCATCTACTGCAGTGGGATCATAGAATCATAGAATGGTTTGGGTTGGAAGGGACCTTAAAGATCATCCAGTTCCAACCCCACTGCCATGGGCAGGGACACCTTCCACTAGAGCAGGTTGCTCAAAGCCCCATCCAACCTGGCTTTGGATGTCCTAGTGCCAGCTCCCCTGCTGTGATGTTGGCACTGTTGGTGTCTACCCTGGAGTTTTTCTATTGTTCCCACGATGTATTGCAGCCATATGGCTTCATGATACAGTTATGAAGCTATGTGCCTTACTCAGGTTCTTCTTTTCCTATCAGTTTCAGTTATATGAGGAGCCTGTGCCATGGGCTCTTGCTCTCTTCGTTCCTAAGTTTAAGATGGTCCCATGGGGTACAAAAAACTGGGAAATAGCAAAAGGGGGAAGAAATTCAGATGGATCATCTGCTCCTGTAAAAGGTGGAGGGGAGAGAGAGGAAGAGGAGCAAGAAGCAAGGGATCCCTTGAATTAATTTAAAGACATTTTTGAGACTTAATGCTGTGTTCAGGGTTTTCCTGTGTTTTATCCTAAGTGGTGAAGAGGACCCATCTTAGGAAAAGATCCTGTGCTGGGGAGTTGTGCATCACTGAGAGCTTGCTGGTTTAGGTGCACTTCTGCCTTTGGATGTATCCTCATCAGTGAAACATTTTCTTTTTCTGTCTCCTCTACAGCTGTGCAAAGCAACTACCATGAGAAGCAGCCTGCCCACATTTGCTCTCTTGGGCAAGTTGGCAGATGCCATCCCAGGCTTTGCTGATCTGCTGGTGGTAGAGCACAGTGAGTAATATGTCATGTTCCACTGAAGGGTGGTTTTCACAGCCCTAATATGCACACGCGTGCATTCACTCCCCATTCCCCTGGGTGAATTCATGAAGGTCACACAAGAAGCCCATCCAGAAGTCAAGAGTGGCACTCAGGCCTCCTGGGCTGCAGATCAGAACCTTTATAGCAAGCTCGTCATCGTGCTCTTAGCCAGCCAGGCAAAAGCAGCCTCTCTGAACTGGGGTTGTGGGTCTGCTTCACAGGCAACATACATTTATTTTTTTTTAGCTTGATCCAGCCCCTGGTGGTCTGGTGAGCAAACTTAGCTGTTTGTGGAGGTAGATGAGATGATGGATCCTCGTGTGGTGAGCAGTGAGCTCCACTAGCCTTTATTACTGTGCCTCTGCTCCGAGGGTCAGAAGGTGCTGAGCACATCACTTGATTGTGGCATTCATTCATCTGCATACACCAGTCTGTCCCGGGGGCTTTTGCAAGTTTTCAAGGGAAATAGGTTGGTGCTTTTAAAATGCCAGCGAATGTTTGCCGTTTCTGTTCCTCATCCTAGGTAATTTAGTGGATCATCTGCTGATGGGCTTGATGTACCCAAATGAGGGTATAAAGGCTGCTGTCTGCTACTTGTATGGCAAGCTGTACTCTTCTCCTGTTGGCACAGAACGGCTCTCAGCACACTTCGAAGAAAGGCTGTGTAGTCTCTTCCTGAATACCCTGGGGTGTGCGCAGACAAAGGAGCTGCAGGTTAATTGTTTGGGTAAGGCATTGCTGAGAGAAACCTGCAAGGTGCAAGGGAAGGCTTAAAAGGAGGAAGAAATCCTTGGCTGGTTTAGACGCTCTAATGTGGTTTGTTCTCTCTAGAGGATCTTTTTGCTGCTTGTCCGAAGCACTCTATCCTTTCTGTTATTCCATGGCAATCACGTGGGCCAGACCTGCTGCTGAGCACCCCCAGCCCCCTGTTGTCTCTCAAGCCCCACATTCGCCCAGCACTGACTAATCCTCAGAGTCTCTTCAGATCTTGTGCTGTGGCCTGACCATCCCTCAAAGTGTTTGAATGCAAACGCTGTGCATGGGCAGGTGGGTTTTATAGAGCAGAGGGATGGAGACAAACAACAGTCTTCAGATGTGGAGCATCATATTATTTAGGTTACAAAGATAACATGGCACATTCTTGCAGTTATGCTTCCAACTACACATATCAGCTGTTGCTGGGGAGCACAATTTCAACCCTTCTGACATTCCTTGTTTGTAAACCATCCAGGGAATTAATTTTTCTTGTAGGAGGCAAGCAGGAACTGTATTGCTCCTCAGATCATCTGTTCAACTACTAGAAATGGATGATGATTCCTTTGAAAGTAGAATTCTATAGCTCAGATGATATCCCTTTGAATTTGTACTGACATGTACTGATGATTTGCATCAATACCTGTAGCAGTGATCTGATTCTTCTGAGGATTTTTGTGTGTGTCTATATATCCTTTAGCTAAATGCAGTTGTTTCAGTAAGAGCCTGTGAAAATAGAAGGGGAAGATAAATGCCAATTCTCTAGAAAGTGTTTCAGGGAAAACGTCGAGTCACTAGGATCACTGACTGCTAGGGAAGAATGAAGGTCAAGAGCTCTCCCAAGAAACAGTTTAAGGTGTGGGTACTAATGGAAGATAATGCAAGTAGAGAGCTCCTGAGATCATGTCCCCCTGTACATACATGTCTCTGAGAAGGAACAGAGAGCAGATCAGAGCCAGCAAAAAGCATCAGCAACAAGGGGTTGCAAGAACTGTGGTTCATGACAGTATCTGGGGACGTAGTGAAAACAAGCTCCCTAAACTGGAGGTGAGTGCTTTTGTTAGGAGTGCTGGAAAGGGGAGGAAGTTGGCAACAAGTCCTAGCCTGTAAATACTCCTGTGTTAGTATAATCCTTGCTTTGCCCAGTATGGTGCTCACTCTTGCTCCCCCTTTTGCAGGTTTGCTAAAGGAGCTGCTGAAATCTGACCATTTTGTATCTATTCTTATGAATAATTCAAAGACAGAGGAGGAGACTGAGAAATCAGAATTTTTAGAAGGGGAAAATCCACTGCCACTTGTTCTCAAAAAGGTGATTGCTGAAGTAGTAGTGAATTGTTGGTAGACGTAAATAACTTGATGACCTGTATTGAATCTTTATCTAAGGCATTATATATATGTAAGGCAGGGTGTTCTGTTGATAACACCAGCAATAGAGGCTGCAGTGAGAAATGGGGACACCTCTGTAGATCACCTCCTGTTCATTCCTGCATCCTGGAGCAGGGAAAATTTTACTCCTGGCCTCAGATGATTTTACTCATTCACACTTGAGGTCTGATACAGCACTTGCAATGCCTGCATGACTAAGCATGGGGGCAGAGCTGTTCTTACTCATGATATCTTCTGTTGTGGTTCTCATTTTGTACTTTTTTGAGTGTCTTTGTTTCAGTGTTTTATCTTGCCTTAGCAGGTTTAATCTGTGAAGTATATGCCAAAAGAGAGAATTTATGTTTAAAATTTTAAAATGAAGAGGAAACTTTCCTACTCATAGCTGCATAGTTGACTTCCTCTCTCCTTTTGACTTTCATTTCCCAACAGCTTTTGTTGACCAGAGATGAGATGTTGCAGGCAGCAAGTTCTCACTGTATGGCTGCAGTGCTGGTTCACTCTCCCAGCAGATATGCTCCTGCTTTTATCCATGCGGATGTTCCAGGTGAAAAGATGCAGTAGCATCTTATTGTTCATCTCCAAGTATCAAAGCCCTCCCTGGCTGTTTGTTTTAGGAATCAGTCTGGTTCCATGATATCCACTGGTGGCACAATGTGTGTGGTGACCATTTTATACCAATAGAAATGGCTAATGTGATTTTAAGAGTAGAAGAGGAGAGTAAGTTTTCATCTGAAAGTATAGAATCTGCTGTCAACAGGCAGAATGTAGTTTCCACAGTGAGAATTTGGACAAATCCTTGAGGTCAAGGTGCTTCTTGCAGGACCTTAGATACAAGCATAAACAGACTTCAGTTTTATCTCATTCCACTAAATATTGTAAGTTTGCACAGAATTTGGTCTAGGATTTAGCTTCGATTGCAGCTGTTGGAGATGGTTTATTGTTTTTCTGTAATCCCAGAAGACAGAAATACTTTCATTATACAAATTCTTTGGGAGATGTAAAAGTTCTGAGGAAAAAAAGATCACTACATCTGTGCTAAAGCTTGCTTAGTGGCTTTTCATTTGAACCAAAGGCTAGATCCACAATTCAGCTCCTTCCTACCTGCTGAGTTTGATCTAGGAAGGAGCCTGCCCATGGGTCTCTGCTCTCCAGTCACCTTATTTTGAAGACTAGCATAACCCTGAGCATCTACTCCATTCTCCATTCCTGCCATTTCATAATACAGCCGTTCTCCCTGCCACTGTTGCTATGCTGCCTCCTTTCCTCCTCCTGCCTCTGCTCTGTTCTAGGAGCAGCTGTGCCATGCATGCTGAGAGCAGCCTGCCTCTTACAGGGGTGACCTCATTTGTGTGTGTATGTGTTTACAGAGTTCCTGTTTGAATGTCTCTTGTGCAAAAGTGAAGTCCTCATCTGGTCAGTGTATTGCTGCCTGCTCCTCCTGACTGAAGAGCGCCTTTTCTTCTCAAAGTGTCACACCGTCTATGGTGAGTCATCAGCTTTTCTGACAGAGTGACTACAGTAATGCTTGTGCCTCTAGCTGAATTTCAATGCTCTACACACAGTCACAATTTCCAGTCAGGATGGATAAAGGACTGGAAATTAATATCTCTCAGATGTGTTTGTGATGTCCAACATAGCTCGAATTTACAGTGCCATTTTCCTAGTGAGTTCCTGATGAGCATTAATTCATTATAATAACCAGTTATCATGATTGACACTAGCTGAGTTACTATTAGGTGTTTCTGTGGACACACCAAGAGTAGATTTAGGAAGAATGGTTAAATTCCTTCTGTTCTTATGGATTTACCTCTATCAGTGGAGATTAAGGCATATTGTCAGGGAGCTGAGTGAACATTCAAGAGTTTTGGACAGTTGTTTCTGTCAGTGACTAATAATTGTTCAGATCTTCCTTCCTTTTAAAAACTAGTTTTGTCCATCCTGGAATCTGGGATGTTAAAAGCCTCTCTGTGACTTCTCTTGAACATGTGTAGGCATTGAATCTCTGGTGCGGAGTCTCCAGGATGTCCTGCAGATGAACAATGTGGAGTTGCACAAACAAGGGCTCCTGCTCTTCACTGAAATACTAAAACGGTAAGGGAGTACCCTGACAGGCTTTCACAGGCAGAGTTTGGTACCCTAAAATGGGGGCTGTGGTGCTTTTGCTTTTTAAGGTTTTCTTTTGAGGCCAAATATCTACACACTTCTGGAGCCTTTGTGTTTGAAGGATGATGCTGAACAATTGCACCTCCCTTATTCTTGCAAAGAAGGGCCTGTGGTTGTTTCTGAACCTTCCAGCTTGTCCTCTTTGTGCCTGCATCCATCAGTATATCTGCATCTTCGTGCTTCCCTGCCTATCTGGGAGGTGAAATCTCTTTTCAGATGTAGACAGAGCAGGAGGGAAGGTCAGGAAGGTCCAGGCATATGTGAGCAGGCCAGATCCTGCTAAGTGCGCTTCTGTGACAAAACAAAGCATGCAAATTCCATGGCCTCTAGTCTTCTATCATCATCTGAGCTAAATTCAAACTGCAAAAACAAATTCTAAGCTGAAATATTAATGTCTTCTGTCACTTTTTTCCTCTTGTTTTCTGCTAAGAAATAATATACACTGGCTTGTTTTTCTTCTGTGCTTCCTGTTCTTGCCTCTATGATCTTGTTCCTGTCCTGTCATGCTAGTGACAGAGTCTTGTTTTTGCCACTTAGTTCCCCCAAGAGAGCCCTTAAGCTGAATTTTGGAAATGTCATAGTCAATTTTGTAGCAAGTGGCAGGGTAAAAAGGAGAAGAAAAAGCAGCAGTGCTAGAACAGTGTGATGATGCCAGTGTGGGATCTGTCAAAAAGAGAAGCCAGGATGTGGGAAACACTAATTACAGCGTTTATGCTTGTAAAACAAAGAGAACACTCTGTGCAGTTACTCTTATGTTCTCGCACACCCATTCTATTTCTGAGCTTTGCCTTAGAAATTATGTTTTATTTAAAACACTCTCATAGTGGGGAAAGGGATCTTATGCTGGAACCTCTCCTCTTGGTTTTTGCTTGCAGCTGGATTCTCTTGTGTAAGTGAGCCCCACATTCTGGTGAGGTCCAAGCAGGACATTCTGTTCCCCTTGGCAGTATGTCAGGAATGGTGGGTAGCTCTCCCTGGTGTGCTTCTTGTCTCTCCCATCATAACCAGAGTGGCAGGCACAGTGTGGGGCCCAAAGACGAGAGGTTGCAGGAAGCTGCAAGAGTGCCATCCTTCACACTTTCCTCCCGGGCCCCAAAGACATCACGGTGCACCATACTGAAAGTGGGTTTGTGCATCTTGAATGAGTCAGCAGTACTCCTCCATCCTTTCCTCCCTGCATGAGTCAGTGAAGGCTTTTTTTCTTCCTGATGTGTTTTACTTCAGAAGGTCAGTGATTAAAGAAAGGAAATACAGAGGATTAACAGAATTACAGTATAAGTAGGAACAAGTTGGAAGTTCAGCGCATCACTTATGGCTTGGCTCCTGATGCCCGAGTTCCACAAGGCCTTTTCCTTGCCTTGCCCACCTCAGAGCTTTTTCTCACAGCAGAACATGAAGTTACTGCCAAGTTGGGTTTCTGTCCCACTGAGTGACTAAAAAGAATGTTTTTTCCTCTGTTTCCTTTTTGCCATGTAACTGGGCTACTAGTGTAATTTCTACTGAAGTTCACTTTTCCACTTGTGCGTGAGAGCATGTGTTCATGGCTTGCTTTAGTCAGGCATGACTGTGAAAAACGAATAACAGGGAATACTGGAATACTTTTGGCTCCCAAGTCTGGCTCTTGTCATGCTGTGCTGCTTTTCTTGCTTCACTTCGGAGAGGCTCTCTGGCAGGCTGTTAGTGCATGTAGCTGCCTGTCTTCCCCCTGCCCTCCCAACAATACCTGACTTGCCAGGAGCCAAATGAGCATAATCTGCCATTTACACAGCTCTGTCCAGTAATGGGATTAATGGCCTGTCATCCCTCTATGCTCTCGTGCTGAAAGCTCAAAGTTGTTGGGGCACAAGGTGATCAGATGATCAAAATGCTCACTATGAAGAAGAATTGTCAGAATAGTTGGAGTGTGTTTATTTTCCTGATTACTTTTCAAGTTCATGAAGGTTCCTGTCCTTCCAACACCATCTGGCGTCAGAAGTGCTACAGGACTGTGAGAGAAGCTATTCTCATGGCATCGTCCCTGTTCTAGGATGGTGATGTTTGCTTGTTTACTCAAGAATATAAGTTGCCAGATGACCCCACAAATGCCAGAGCAGATGGCCTGAGCATAAAGTCCTAGGCACAGAGATCACTGTATTTTGCAAAGCTTGTTTTTCTTATGCTTTTCATGTCAGTCTTCACTGGAGTAGTCACACAGTTATCCTGTCTGTGGGTTTTTTCATCGTAGTAGGGCTTCAGATGGGCTGAAGTTCACTCTTTGTGGCAAACCCTCTACCTGCTCAAGTCTGAGAGTGCCTCCTTGAGAGCATCTGGCTCTGAATAATGAAAGGCATGGTTGGAACCACAGAGCCCAGCTGTCCATTTGGTGAAATGAGAAAAGGGCACCACAGTTACCTAAATCTGACAACGTTCTCCTTGCTTACTCTGTTTTCCTCTTTGCAGGCAACCCATGGAAATCAAATTATTCACAAACCGAGGTGTATGTATAGAAGCCATTGATGTTTTGATGGAGACAGTGAACTGCCCAGTGCTGGAGGTGGCAGTGGAGGCTGTGAGAGCTGTGGCAGCTTTCCTGAGGTAGGCAGGAAAGTATTTACAGGCTTTTCTTCAGATAGATACTTTGATACCACGTTGGGCTCTACAGCTCCCCTGTGGCTGTGTGGGTGAACATGCTCTGCAGTGGGACTTGTGGCTGAGGCAGGCGTGGGTACAGCAGAGCCAGCTTCCCACCCACCTCAGAAGGCTTCCAGGGCAATGAAGCTGCAATAGGCAGCAATTCACTGCAGCAAGGACCTGGTGTCCCAGGCAGGCTCGTACGATGGCTGCTGTGGCTTTGTCACTCTGTGCCCCATCCAGATTGATAAGAGCAAGCATAAGACCCTGGATAGTCATATGCTTCCTGACTGTAGTGGGAACAGACAGTGAGGGCAGTGAGAGTATGTTTGGGTGCATATGTGGATGAAGGCACAGTTCAGATGTTGTGACCTTACTATGCTGTGCTGGAGAGGTGTGGCAATGGCATACTGACATTAGAAGAGCAATTATTTCTGATGGTGTTGCCTTCCCAGCAGGGAAGTCCCCAGCAGGGGCTGTGCATAATGTCTTTCTCTTGGCTTGTTCAGGAAGGACCATCTGAGCTCCCCTCCAATCCCATATGAAGAGCTGCAGAAGTTGCTGGAGGCAGCACTGAAGCGATGTGCTGACCTTTCCCCACCACAGAGCAGCAAGAGGCATGCAGTAAGTTAAAAGTTGCTGTTGCCTGTTGGTAGGACCAAGCAGGACAGGGTTGATCCTCCTAGCACACTATGTGGATGTTATGTATGTGTTCTATCCTCTTACCTGTTTGGTTCTCTGATACTTCTTTTGATCCTCTTGCCTCAAAATGGTACCAAACTTTGTCTTTGAAGTAGATGAAGATGGATGCTGGTAAATGTTATCTCTCTAAATCAATGAAGATTTGTGGGGCAGTGCTTGAGCACGCTGTTCTCCTTATGTGTCCAGTACTCCAAAGTCATTGGAACTTCCCCTTCTTCAGGACTCTGCCTTGTAGGCTGCATTGGTCAATGTATTTTTTTGGCAATGAACATCTCTTGTTTTGCATTCAGATCAAGAGTGTCATCATATATGCACTGTGATCCCTCAGCAAGGGAGGTGTTAGCTATTGTTTGAACTGTAAATTCTTTCCCGTTCCTGGAATTTGTAGTTAGTGTGATGTGGTACTGGGACCTCTGCATTTCTGAGAGCCCCAGTTACAGATGGCTAGCGAAAGACAAGGGCTGAGCCTTCTTGCGATAGGCTTAGAGCTGTGTAGGTTTAGATCACGTCTGTAGTGACAAGAACATATTGTTGGAGTACCAGAGCTCCAAATTCTTGATGAACTATCTTATGACCTAAGTTCTGTGGTACCAGATATTTGCCTTGTCTGCCCGGAGAAGGCAGAACTGCTTTCTGCCCCATAGGCAGATGCTGGTCAGTTTGTTTGCACACATGCAGAGCTTGGTGTCCCTTTCAGAATTTGAAGCTTCACAGGAAGGAAATTAGGCAGATAGTGAGGATATCCAGACTGTCTTTAAAGGGAGAAAAGGGTCAATGATTGTACCTCTGCTAAGGTATCTCAGCATGAAATGGAGAAGGAGTTCTGAACTGCCGGGCATCAGTGTGTAGCTGTGCCCTCCTCTGGTAGTATTTGGAGAAGACCACCACAACAAGTTAAGGCTTAAAAGCAGATTTTGAGTACCAAGTTGTTCCCACTTTGGAGAAATTATTAGCTCTGATGCTTCAGTTGGCTTCTGGCTGAGCTTGGTAGGATGCTGTGGGAACAAGAGCTAGTATGTGGATCATTGTTTAAAAATCTGAGCCAAAGTAGGGAACTTCTAAGATTTCAGTGCTAAGCAAGGAGAACTGTTCAGTGTTGGAAATTTAAAAAAATACTACATTTTCCCATAAGGGCTTTAAGGTCCATTAGGTGAGATGTTTAAAACTCAGATGAAATCAAATCATGGCAATACAGGCTGTAAAGACAGGGCTGTACAGAAATAGTAACTCTGTAACTGTCTTCCGTAGGAAGAGCACACAAGCTCTCCAACTCTGCCCTCCCTGGGCAAAGCACAATAGTGAAAAAACAGTTGTGTGAAAGAAGTGAGTGAAGTGAAATCTGTTGTTCCTCCTGCTGCTCCTGTCAGAGAAGAAAGCTATTTTTTCTGAAAGTGAACATAAGATTTTAAAGACTTTTCTCCTTTAACAGAGTGATCTTCTATTCTCGGTGTCTCAGAGTCAACCAGCGAACAGAAATCTCGGCAGAGTCCCTCAGAGACAGTGTCAGTTCTTGCTCAACACCCTGGAAAGTTTCAGAAATGCTTGCAGGTGAGGACAAGTCAGGAAGGTGGGCAGGTGACTGGTGTGTGTCCACATCTGTCCATTCTTTTGCCCTTGCAACTGAGTTCCTCCACCCAGCCCCACCAAGGAAATATCACAGGTGCGTTAAATGCATGGCAATTGTCAGTGAAACAGCAGACTGAGGGATATATAATAATAGTGAAAATTTTGTGACCCATGGATGTGCCTCTCCCATGAAATTTGTCTAGGACCTATCAGGACCTATCAGTTTATTTCATGTCTTTGGGCTTTGAGGGACTGCTTGAAAATTAACCAAAACTACTGACAGTGTAAGAATTGTTGGAAGGTATGTATGAAAACAGATTCCTGTACCCTAGAGTATGTGGTCTCACTGCCAGAAGGGATTAACCATTTAACAGATGCTGGCCTTGGATTTGCTCATGGCTGTGACCTGTTACCGCAAATGGGTCTGTAGGCACCAAATTTTCCTGTTTTGCTGGATGAGAGTTATTTGTCACCCTTGGCTGCACAGCAGACAGCGCTAGATGAGTTTGTGTATGAATCAGGATCAGTTGTTAGTTGTGGTCCACCCAACTTAATTTTTGCCTTGCATCACTTGTGTTTGGCTTGGCTGATATAATTCAGTCAGAAGCAGGTATGCCTTTCTGCACTGACCCAGAGTTTTGCGGTGGTGTTAGAGGGCACTTGGATTCTGTCATGGATTTTAGATCAGCTGAATGGTCCCTTGGCTGATTTTCACAAGGTTTGCTGTATTGTGTACCTGGCTGAAAACCAGTCTTGCCACACTAGGGCTTCCCACAGCAGATGCTTTCTTCACAGAAACTGTCTTCCTTTCCCAGGTTGTGCTGTTGTGCAGCCTTGATGACTTTTAATAGCTTCACTCAAGAGGCAACTGTGTGATTACCAGATTCCTGTGTTTCCAGCCTATTGAGTGTTTGTGAGTCCGTGATGGTGAAAGTCGTGATGGAAATTTAGTATCTCCTGACTTCCTTTGCAGAGTGAGGAGAATTCCTCTCTCCTCTGTTGTCCACTTTGTGTTTGTAGGTTAGCAGTGGAATTCCAGGGTGACTTCATGGCCCAGGAGAACGCTTTCACTGCCCCCAACTCTGAGAGCAAGGACACGCTGAGCAAGTTCTCTGAGTTCCTGTTGAGGATTTGTGACAGTCTCTGCATCCCCATGGTCATGGTAGGGTTTCTTTTGAACTTGGTGTGTTCCTTATGTGCCTGGAAAGGTGCTTTCAAGCCCCAAGAATGGGTTGGACAAATGGTTTTTTGGGAAGAGAAAATGTAGAGTAAACCAAGAACAGCTGTGGCATTTACCACCTCTCTAGAGCCACATGTGGAATTATACAGTTAATGAGAAAAGGAAATGTATGGTCTCAGAGGGTGGAGAATTTCATGAAGCTTCCATGTAGATGGCAGTGTCTTTCGTCAGACTGTGCAATCCCCATAACCTGCCTACCATGCTATCTGATCCATGGCAGCTCTGGATGTTGCAGAAAATGAAGAATGCCTGAACTGTTGTTTCCCATTCTGCCACTTTTCCAAAACTTGCCTGTGTCCCAGAGAGCAGCTGTGTTTTGCATCTGCAATTTCATTTTCACACTTCTTTCTGGAAGGTACTGATGAGGCTGCCCAGTCTGCACAGCAAGGACAGTACTAAGCACTGTGCTTCACTAAGGCCAGGGACATGATTTAGAAAATAGCAGTGGAGAGTCATGTGTGCTTTAGTGCTCCATACAGGCCTGTCCCTAAGACACTTCAAGCAGAATTGTCAAAACAGTGTAACTATGGTTGGGGTTCCTAATGTTTAGTAAATTTTGCTTGTGCTTTGCTACAGATTCAGGTGTATGGATCCTTGCAGTTGTTGGGAACTTGGGGATGTTTTGATTGGTGTTTTCTTAACCAATCTCTTGGTAGACAAATGCGGTGGCATTGCTGTTTTCCTCCCTGATGTGAAGGTGCAGTGCATGTCCAGTTTGGCAAAGCTGGAGTCAGTAAACTGTTTGAACTTGCATAAAAATTAATGGACTGTGAAAAAATTGTCCAGTGACCTGCTACAAGAGTGAGTTGAGTCATTCTGTTCTAAACAGTGTAGGGATGGACTTCGTAGAGAGCTGAAATGCCTGTGTTTGCCACTGCTCAATGAAACACTGAAGCACAAGTGTTAAGTGTTACTGAAGTCAGCTGAACTTGAATATTTGTCCTATGTTGTATGCCATGCTGGAGAATTAGCCATCTGACCTGTAAGAGCAGTTACTTCCAGGGCAATGTGGGCAGTAGTGTTAGTCACTGTGGATTAAGGCCTAACTGGTTGCCAGCTGGAGTCTGGAAGAAGTTTCTTGTCTGGTGTAATGTCTTGCAGTGTTAGCGCAGCTCATACCATTGGCAGAGGGGAGTGTCAGTTGCATTCAAAGTGCTCTGTGAGCCTGTGTGCTTGCTGCCAGACATTTTGGTAAAAGAACTGTTACTCCATTTGTTTGGATTTAGAAATCCAACTTTCTGGGCAGGCAGGAGGCCAGAGGGAAGCTGCTGCTTTCACTGTTTATGCACCCAGTCTTTTCATCTCTCCACAGAGCTACCTGCAAAGGGCTGTCAGTCTGTCGGTGGTGGAGGTTTTCATCTCAACACTTAATATCCTCTTTACAGTGGTGCCAAACATGCGGAATAAGTTCTCCAAAAAACTGGGTAGGAGGGTAGTGTGGGATCATGTTCTCTGTGCTCTCAACTTAACTGATGGAACTTGCTGCTACTGCATATTACTGGGGCAACGAGCTTAACAAGATTTTATGTGGAGGATTATATTACATGTTTATATGAGTAAGAATAGAGTGCACAGTCATGTTCAGCAGGATGAAAATGTTATTTGGTCTAGCAGTGATGATGGGACAGGTTTTATTTTGGATAAGTGTGTTGTGTCAGCTTTACCCGTCCCTCTGGAATATTCAGAATTGGCTGTTCCTGTAGACAGGGATTATGTTGGAATTGTTGGTGGGATTTTACTATGTAGAAATCCTATTTACTCTGTGTATTCCTTATTCTTCACACATCAGAGAGCTGATGTAGACAATTCCTCTGTTCTAAACATGTGAAGTTGGCAAATCTTCACTTCTCCTGAGAAAACAAATGAATCTCAGATATTTCCCTCCAGCCCAACCTCGGAGTAGTTTGCTTTCTGAGAGAAAGCCTAACATACGTATTCTTATTGAGATGGCCTGCCCTGTTTACCAGGCTTGTGTGGGGATGGTTATGGGACCTGCCTACTCTTTTCCCTTATCCTACATGTTCTGTGCTCCTTTGACATTTCTGTCTCACTTTCTGTCTAGCATCCTCCTCCTTCATCCAACTGACACTGGAGCTGAAGGCCAGATTTTGCTCTGTACAAAGGTATTGTGTGTATTGTGAGGGAGTCCAAAATTTCCAGATGGGAAAGCAGATCATGCCTTATCTAATGCACCTGAATAGGCAAGACAGGAGGCTGAAAGACTCAAGAGTGGTTGTATCTTACTGCAAAATGTAAATGGTAACTGACAATGGAAAAGCTGGATGTGGGAGAAGGGAGAAGCAGTTGGGTAGGGGGCGGATGGATTTACATGGCGTTGTGAGAATTCTGTGCTCCGTCGTGAGTCGCACAGGCAGAGATAAAGCAACTTGACTTTGGAATAGTCAGATCAGTGGGTGTTTTGAAAAGAAGTATCAGTAGCACCAGTTCCATCTGAGCTCTGGCTTCCTAGGCACATACTACCCCTATTGGTGTGTTCCTCATGGTGTGATAATGTATAAGAAATGGGAGGGAGGAGGAAGACTTCAATAGCAGGCATTGCAAAGCATCTCCTGTAGTGGAGGCTATGATTTCTAAGTTGAGGAGTACTTGGGGAGATGCTCTGTAGGTCTACAGAGATGTTTTACCTCCTCTTTCCTGTGACTGTATCTCACTAAAAAGTAAACAAAACACACAGCACTCCTAGTCCAGGTTACTACTGTGGAACTTAGAGTGGGGACATTTGTGCCTGTGTGGTGGAAGTGATCTAGGCCTCTGAGTACAGTAGTGGGGGGTGCCAAGGATAGTGTGTTATGGGTGTTGTTTGGTTATGTCCTGTTCTACAAGGAAATCTTTGGAGAGAGAGAAATACCTGGAAGTAGAGCTGTTCTCACCCTTTTAGTTAATATTTTATCATTCTTCAGTGTTCTTCCCTGGAAACACCATTGCTACAAAATCTAACTGGTATTTGCCAGTGGAATCATGTACTGGGAGCTACGCTTAAACACCTCCCATTGTCTGCAGTGTTAGGGGTCCTACCCTTACAGGACTCCCCATGTATACCTGGCAGGGTGACTGTGAGAGTACCCCACTGCATTCATATTGGCCCAAGATCTATGAACTCCTTCACTGATGTCACTGCACGCACTCGCCACGTTGGTGACCTGACTGTCCTTTGGGAACTCATCATTTTCCTGGAAAGCCTAGGCTGCCTCCTTGAGTCTTCTTGTGATGGGGCAGGTGCTTGTATGTGATAATTCAGTAAAATGAGGTCTGGTAGACAGTGTGTGATATTAGAAGTAGGAAAAGGATGTTTCTAGCCTCCTTCTCTGTATCTTTCTGCTCTTCTTCACAGTAATCCTGTCCTGAATCAGACCTGTTCCAGCTTCCTCTGCAACTTGTGCCTGAACCTTTACTCTGCCACAGAGAAAAGGAGAACATCTCAGGAGGGCAAGTTTGGGGAAAGAGTAAAATTGCTTTATGTAGTTTAAGGCCCTGCCACCTTCTGTTTGGGCAATAGGTGCAAAAAAATATTAGAAAAGGACAAGGGAAGAGGGAAGGGAGAACACATATAGCTCAATTTGGAGAAATTTTTCCCCAGCTTGTTTTTAAGCTGGTGCAGCAAGGAGGTAACAGTCAGAATGCCTTTTGAAGAGTTTGGAACCCTGCCTGAAAGAATGCGTTTCATCTGCCTATGATTTTGTTTACATGGTGACATTTATTAGCACAGCTGTGCATGGCTTAACTGAAATGAAATTACTTGCCACACAGTCACTCATATCTGCAGATTAAGGTAATATTTTCCCCTCTGGTGTACTCTGTAAAGCTTTCCTGTCTACACTGCAACTTTCCATAATAGTTAAGTCCAAAATGAATGAGATTAAAGTTTCCACATCACAAAAGCAACTTTTCCCACTGGCAGTGGTTGGTCACCATACAGGCAGCATCAGCAAAGAACTGGGACCCTCAAACAGAAGTGTCTTTTCATCCCTAAATTTTCCATTTCCTCCATTAAATCAAGTGTCATGCCACTATTGATGCCAAATCATAGAGATGTGCTTACTGTGTGCAGACTGTGGAGTAGTAGGTTGTTCCACTCTTCTTTGTCATAGACGTTCCTCATCACTGCCTGCCTGCTCATACTGGTTTGATTTCTAGAGCAAGAGATGTCTACGCTCCTGCAGAAGGGTCTGCCTCAGTTAAACTACACCATTGCTGAAAGCCTTCTCCTCCTGTCTGAAACCCCCGAGCCTTTCTCTTTGGATCAGTCTCTTTGCAGCCACCAACACTGCTTCTTACTACTCTTATACTTTGCCTACACCCTTGGGGACAGGTGAGCCATGAGTATACAAGGCAAGTGGTTTTGTGGCCATTACATACCATGTATTGGTGGGCAAAGCATATCTGATGTTATTGTTTCCACTCCAATCTCCTTGAATGCAGGTTTGTTCCAGATGCAGAATTATTTCTAGCCATAAGAAATTTCCTCCTCTCAGCACAGGACCGTGGAGACTGTCCTCCTCCACACATACTCAGAGCTGCACTTTACCTTCTTGCTGTCTGTCAGGATAAAGGCAAAGCCCTGGACTTGGTAAAAGAAGATTTCATTCCTACCTCTTGGAACCGTTTTTTGAAACTAAAGTTTCTTCCCACTCCCATCAACCCTCTTGCAGAAAGTATTTTGCAATAGGTGGTGAGTGGTGAATGAGTGAAGAGCGTGCAGTGCATCTACACTCTGGAAAGTTAACCATGAAAACCCACAGGGGAATATAGATTTGATGGAATAAACTTGCGTATGTGTGGGAAGTGTAAATGCGTTGGATAGGCTGTGAATTCACATACAGAATATAATAAATTTCATAGCTTCGATCTCCTGAACACATCTCCAGCCTCTGCAGCAGGCTTTCTAGTGTTCCCATATGACTCTTTGCTGCTGCACAGCTTTGAGCTCTGTATAAAGCCTACAAGTTTCTTAGCCTTTGTGATGCAAATGGGCTTCACAAAATGATGTTTAACTGATATATTTGATTGTCTACTTAAAAGGCCGTGTGACTGTTTCTCACAGTAAATTCTCATCATCTCAGCTGTTTGATATTCAGTATCTAGTGATTATTTTGTTCTCTCTCCCTCTCCTCCTTTCCCTCTCACACACTTACCAGAGGTCGTTGTGTACCATAAGAAGGATCCTGGATAATCTTCCGGATCTGAGCTTGGTCTATGTCCATTGTCCTCTCCTGCTGAAATTCTTCCTGCACTACCCTGAACTTATGGGGAGATTTGGACACCAAGTCCTCCAACTCTGGTTTTCCTGGGGAGACTGCAAGCAAACTGAGGCTGAAGAACCTGATTTTGACACATCTGATCAGCTGAACAGTGCTAGCCCATTACTTCCCATTCTGAAGAGCAATTCCAGCATTTTGCTTATTTTACTGGTATGTGACTTTCACAAGGACAGGCTGCTATCCTGGCCGTGTTTTATGGGGGCTTCGGTTCTTAAAGCCCTCAGTGATGTTATGAAGCCAAAGATGTTGATAGAAGGGGCCATGTGTGTATACATAGACTTCTACCTGCCAAGGAAGCCTGATAAGGAAAATGGGACTGTGTGTGTGTTATCTTGTTCTATGTCATCCACCCACTGTGATAGGAAGGGATCTTCTAAGAGTTGGCTGGGAAGGGATCTGAAGGGTCTTGCTGAGGTATGCCATGAAAAACCCTTTTCCATTCTCTATCCAGATACACAGCTGGGTGCTCCAGATTCTTCTGTGCCAGCCTTTCAAGAAGCTATTTTGCTAATTTGGGAGCAATGTTTTGTTATTGATAGATGAGAAGGGTATGAGGAACAAGAACTTTGAAAAAGCAGTGTGCAGAGAGAAGGTCTTGAGAGCACACTTTTCTGTTTGTTTGTTTGGGGGTTTAATTTTGTTTTGTTTTTACTGGAGAGTCTTGTCAGAGATTTTTGCAGTACTCTTGAGTTTTCAGGACTGCAAATAACATGTTTTGTTGCTCTTAAAAAATAAAAATCTTGAGACAGGGAAAATTAATCAATGCAGGAGAGAAAGGGGCCTTAAAGTAACAGACTAGTGTGTTTGCCTTTAGCTGGTGTAATGAGCTCTGTTAATGTATGTAATCGTAACAGAATCCATGTCCTGATGGCTGCTTAGAGGCTGTCTCTCACTGCCACCACTCTCACCTGCCCTGTCACCCCTCCCCATTAGTGGCCACTTGTCCTGCAACTGTTCAGCCAGTCACATATGAAGTATTTGCTAACTTTTCTACGCAAGAACATGAGATTTGCCTGTAAGGGCAAAAGCTAAGAGTTGTGATGTTTCTTCTCCAGTCTGTTAGAGAAATTAAAACTAAGTATCATTGAGAAGACAAACCCATGTCAGCAAATGGTGAAGAAGCAAGAGGAAGCAAAGTTTGATTCTGAGTGGGCATCCATTGGGCATTACAGACTGGCATGTATTTGTTCTGATCTAAGAGGTTATGAAGTAAATTTTAATATCTGGAGTTACCGAAATGGCTGACAGGAGGGTTCTTCTGTAGGGCAGTTCTTTCACAGGGTGATATTGCAGAGTAGGTAGCAACATCCAGGCATTTGATTCAGTTGCAGAGCATTAGTAAAAGTGGTCAGTGAGTTTTCATATCAGTACAAATTAAGGAGAAGTGTCCCATGAGACTTGCCCACACTGTTATATTTGGCAGTAGTTCTGGAGCTTATCGCTCCATAAACTGAAGCATCACAGGTCTGTCAATAAGCAAAACATAATCAGTGTCTCCTTCCCTTAATGGTACAACATTCCTGCTTTCCCTTTCTGTCTTCCCATGTGCTCTTGCAGAAATACATTCATTTGGCTCTATCCCAGTCTTTAAAGCGAATTGTAATAAATCACAGGCTTTGACAACTCACCTTTCAGTTGTGGAAGCGCATATTCAATCTGAATGTAGATGGACTAACAATACAGAGCAATATACTGGGATAAATATACTGTCAGATGTAAGGAAAACTTACAAGGTGAATAACCTAAGCTTCAGAATGCACGAGTGAAGTGAAAAGGCCTCTGCATGGTACCATGAAACAAAAACATATGTCGTTCCAAGGATGATTTATTTGCTTATCTACTTTTAATAATTGTCTGGATTAGATGTAATTGATGGTTAGTGACATCATCTGAGACCTTAAGCTCCTGAGTAGGAAGGAAGATGTTAACACAATGGTGCATTTACCAGGACCAGGAAGGCTGTGGCCCTTGGTTCATGCCATTCTGTGCTCAGTTTATCTGGGGGTGAATATGATTGCGATGACACACTGTCCCATTTGTCTTCTCTATGCTCCAGGTCTGAGGTACTCTCTCAGAGAATAGAGACATTGGATTCCTGAATGTCAGATGAAGCAGATCTATGTCAGCAGAGCCGATTGTACAGACAGCTCCCTGCCCTTTATTCCTAAAGGTCTCTGATACAGGCAGGATTTAGGCTCAGAACTAGAGAGCTTTTTCTGTCACAGGCAGCCTGTTCTTACTTTAACTGCTTTCCTTGTGTATGGAGTCCCACAGCCATTTCCTCTCCGTCATCCCAGTCTACTGCATTACTACTGTGTGATAGGGGAAGGCAGCTGGAAAAGGCAGCAGACTGTCCAGTCAGGCTGCAGGCTCAGTTGCTGAGACCAGTTTCCTGTTTACCTCTTCAGCTGTACCATTTGCAGTGCAGTAGCCAGGACTACTGCAGGAAGAGAGGAAAGGTAGTGCTGACGTAGTACGTGTCGAGATGGTCATATTATGTCAGCGCTACCAGGCATTTTCTGCCTGATATTTATGGAACTGCCTCTGTACACGCTATGCAAGTGAATTTAATGTTAAATACCTTAACATCAAGAGTATGCCCAAATTAAGGCTACTGGCTCCGAAATTCAGTTCAGAGACTGCAGACAGAGCTCTGTAGTCAAAAAGCAGGCTTGTGGGATAAGTGCTGTGTACATGACTCTTCCCTTTCCTGTGACTGAGTGATTGCTTGCCTGGTTTATGTAGGTTTTATGCAGTTTAGCTGTTATGTTACTACTGCACATACAAAGCTGCCAGCCTTTTGAAAGTTAGTAACTATGGACTGACTCGTAAGCTTGATTTTAAATAAGCATCTTTAATATGCAACCTGATTATTCAAAACAACTAGATAAGCAGAAGTGCTAGAGGCTCTGTTTTCTTGTTTAGGATCTCACTGTCTAAAACCTTCACCTTAAATGCATATTGCCCCTATAATTACATAGCTAAATACATTCTTTAAATGAGATATTACTCAGAGGTGCCTAACAGACATAAGTCCTTCTCATGTTCAGCCCTTCTCATATTCAGTTTTCTATTTAATGAGTACATACTTAATCTGAATGGTGCTTTATTAGGCTGTTTCCCAAGGCATCGGATTAGCATAATGGTATTAAATAGCAGTGACTTTTGCCTAATCAGGGTAGAAAGGTAACGTGTAATTTCTTTCCTCGCAGGACCTGGTCTGCTCAAGCTCTGTGAAAGTGGCTTGGAAGATGTTAATGACTCTAAGAACCTTCCTGGAAAGAAATGAGGATGTCCTTGTCTGTGACCTCCTCCGGAGCCGATTCCTACAGATTCTGCAGCAGCTGTTGGTAGAGAGCAGCTCAGCCACCCTACAAGGTGACCCCCACCTCTGTGACTTGGTCTTGCTGTAAGATCAACTAGCAGAGTAGGTGGCTGAAGGGACACAGTCTGGGATAAAGTAGTTTTGAAGTGCTGATGTAGCTTCAGTACTTATCTGCATGAAGAAATTTATAAACAGAACTGTACTGATTTACTTTCCTCTTTCAGAGATTAGTTTTGAAATGAGAGTCTTTTTTTCTGATTTATGTTGTTCTGGCTTCAAACTGTGATTGTTAAACCAAGGCAGGGTTCTCATATACTGCCATCAGTGTTCAAATGGAGAGCTGTGCTGGTAAATCTTCCAGCTTGAATAGAGGCTCAGCTGGTGACTGAAAGACATTCTCTTTTTTGCCTCTTCACTGTGCAAAACAGCTTGGTGTGCCCGAGTGTACATAGTTCTCAGGACAGAAAGACCAGGAGCAGGGGTTGTTTGACTCATTCATGATGTTGATCCCCAAACGGGGACTGTGGTATCACCAAATCTCTCTTCTGTTAAATCTCTCAAAGAGAGCAAGGCTGTGACTGGGGGAAATATCTGTTTTCTTACTAGCCCTGGCTGTGGCATTGGAATTGTTATCCCACTATGAAAGGTGCTGTGCAAAGCAGCCTGTGAGCTTGAACTGAGGGAGGGAGCAGTGCTAGGATGTCCTTGACCTCTTAAGTTAGGGACCCAGCACAGCATTTTTTTGTTCCTGAGGGGGCCACCGACACTTTTAACTGCCCTGCTCTGTTTCAGGTGTTTTACTGTGCAGCATTTGGGATGGAGACAATAAGAGGGGAAGTGTTTTTGCTTTACCTCAGGCCAAGTCAGGAAACTGGAGAAGAGGGAGGGGTTGAAAGCTTAAGGCTACAAGATTAGGGATAAAGAAGGCAATGTTGGCATCTGCTAGATCTGATTGTGTTTGAAATTGTGCACATCTGGACTTGTGGTGTCCCTCTGTTGCTGATCTATTGATGCCAGGGGCTGCAGGGAGGGAGATTGTCCATTTACTATTGCGGGAGTCAGACCTAATTCTCCAAAATACTGGTAATGGAGATAGGACACTGGGCTAGAGAAGCTTTTGCAAGCTTTGAGCCCTTTTGCTGCCACTAATATCCCCAGCTTCTCTTCATACTGCATTTTGAGCTTGTTAACTGAGTTCCTGGCAGGTCTATCCAGGAAGTCAAACATCAGATGTACTCTGGAGACAGACTTCCTTGTCTCGCAGCACACAGGCAGCTCTCTGTGAGGTCTGAGGTAGTTAAGTCCAGGGGATCTGCATCCCTATTCAAACAGTAGCCTGCCCTTAGACAAGAAGGTGGCCCAACAGTGGGACTCCATAAAGAATATGTGAACATTAAAGACACTCATGTTTCCTCCTCAAAACTGAAAACTCCCAAGCTTTTGTAAAAGCATTTTCTGGAGGTGATAGGTGTTTGCTGTAGGTATGGCTGCATACAATATAAAATCTTTATCTCTTTACAGCATTGCGAAAGAGTGAATAATAGGGAGGGAGTTGCCCTGGGGAGTTGGTGGTCTAAGCAGCCCTGTTCTCACATACAGACCTGCTGTGTGGAGCTCTCACTTACTATTGTCTCTGCTCTGCCCCGTGGGATGGGATGGACAGCATTTTTCTGGTCTCATAAGATGAAGGAGAACAAATGCTGCACAGCTGGGCTGCTGTCAAAGCATGGGCTGCCAGTGGTGGTCAGATAGACAGGGGCTAATGACTTCTAGCATATTAGTGGTATCAGTTTGAAAGTGATGACCATGCTCCCTACATGGTTCACAATGGGTGTATATGATCCTAGTGTCCTTTTACCCCTCCTTTTCTAGTTGTTCCTAGAATAATGTTGGCAGGATCCAGGTGTAACTCAGGCCAACCCACAGTGGCAGAAAGGGGCCTTGATCCAGTGGAGACCGTAGAGATGAGAATGAAGTTGGGGCTCTGTGTGTGTGTGTAAAAGGGCAATACTTCCTCCCCTAACCCATCCTCAGTCCTGAGCCAGAAAATTAACAATTCCTGGCAGATTTTAAGGCACAACAGTTTAGAGTTAACTGAAAACCTAAGCTGTCTGTGCCCTTCTTAGCTAACAGTAACCTGCCTGTTTTGCTGAGCCTCCTTTTCCTGGTGCAACTGCGGAGCAAGGGCATGAGGGAGCTGGACAGCACAGACTTCAAGCTACTTCACCAGGGTGAGTATATGCACCCATCTTCTCCTTGCCTTAAGATGATTAGGAGCTGGCTCTTTGTCCTTTGTGAGATGTACCTTGCATTATGGTTATGGCTGCTTTGAGTTACTTCCATAGCCAGGGCATTGTAAAGAGCCCTGGTTACTAGTTCAGTCAACAAAACCCAGCTTCTCTTCTTACTTTTACAATACATTTGTTGTCTAAAATCTCACAAGGTGGCCAAAGTATTCCCCTGACCATGACATGATTTCAGGGTCAGTGACTGTTGTTGATTTGGCTCATGACAGTATGGCTGATGTGCTTGCTGAATCATCCTTCCCTGTCCACACTTGCTATAACAGTCTTGTGGTGTTCAGGTGACAGTCATGTCCTGTTAATCGGCTATCAGGAAACATCAGCTTAGTGAAACTAGGCTTTCCTTGAAGTGTGAATGCAGAGTATATAGTTCCCTACCAACTGCAGAGCTTGCCCAGTCCACCCCAAAGACACAGAAGGCTGTGTTTGTTAACCATAGTGTGACCTGCTGCCTTGTCTGGTGATCCTTACTTGGTGATTTCTTACTTGGCTGTTGGAGGTTCATGCAGCCTAAGAAAAAAAAAGATACTAGAAGGAAATTCAGCTGATCCATCCTCTTATCTCTTCCCTGCTCTGACAAACTGATCTTTCCAGCAGACTTTGAAGGACTGTCCCCTTCAATTTTAAATGTTTCATATCTTGAGGCTGCCTGTGTTGGCCTTGTAAGGAAGCAGTGTTTCTCAGGTGTTCATTAGCCAGGGGAATTAAGGGGTGTGGAAGAACCATGTCCTTTTTATACCAGCATTTTTAGCTGCTGTGATTTCAGAGCAGAGCTCAGATGCTGCCAGTAGTCACAAGCTCCTTTTGCTCTTGCCTTCTGCTCTGTATTTTGCAGCACAACTCTCTCCCTACCCCAACCACCCCATTTATTCCCTCCTTGGCTCCCCAGGATATGTTCTTCAGGGGTGAGTGTACAAGACACTATCCTCTAATGAGGCCTATATGAAGCCAGCTCATAGATGGAAGAGGTGTGTTGATGTGTGTTTTTTGAGAATTGCTTACTCAGACTGTATGCTCTTCAAAAGATCTCCTATGACCGTTTTGCTGAGACCTGTAGTCCTGGATTTCTCTCCCTAACTTTTACTAAACATTGTTCCCAAGTGTTTGGTGTTTACAACAAACATGACACTTTACTCCTAGTGTAAGCAGAGTTAGTGAGAGTGGAGGAGCACAGCTCTCCATGCCATTCCCCAGTCTGGTCACCATGAGAGACAGTCACATGGCTGTTTATGCTTGTTCTAGTACTAGGATCAAGCTCACACTGGAAACAGGTAACTTGAAGTCCATTGCTCTTGGATTCATTCCTGCCTAATGTGATTTATGCCCTTTAATATACCTTTTTCTATTCCCCCCTCTCTGTTATCATCTTCCACTGCATGGTCCAATCTAAAGCAAACATTGTAGGGCAGTCGTCTGTTGCTTTATCTGTACCATGCTCTGTTTTATTTTCACTTCTCATCTGAATTCTCTCCCCAGTATCTGACTTCTTGTTCGAAGGTGCTCTGTTAAGCTGGTGTCCTTGTCATTCGTGTTCTTTTGTTTCCAGTCAGTAATCTCTGTGGGAAATGCAGGCCAAGGGACACTGGCCTCCTGCAGCCATCCTTGAATTTTCTGTACTGGAACCTTCATCAGACAACACCTTGTAGTCAACAGAGAGGTGAGGCAAGATTGTATTGATTGCTAAATTAATCTCAGTGAGGTTGTAACTTGGCCATCAGAGACTGTATTCTGACTGTCTCAGCAGGTAAGGTGGATGTTTCTCCATCCAGATGCAGCATTATAATTAACAAAGACCATTTTGTATTTGGGATGCATTTTTTTAGGTCGAGGGTTTTGGTTTGGTTTTGCTGCCTTCTGATGATTCAAGAATTGGCTGCTGAAATACAGAAGCACTGTATTTTTCTTGTTCAAAGAACCCAGCTGTGGGGCATTGGTGCCTAGTTTGAAATATCCTGGTATTGTCATAGTTCAAAAAATTAGACAAAAATAGAGAACAGCTCTAACCAGCCTTCCTGCTGTGTTAGCTGAAGGCTGATCATTTTATTAGCTGGCCAAGCAGTTGCTGGTGCTGTGGGAGATGAATACCAGCATAGCTGGACAGCCTTACTCTGATGAGCTGTGGCAGCTGAGGCTGCCTCACTGCAGCACGGGTGTGCTCTGCACTTCTCTTCTGCTTGTCAAGCTGGTTTAACCTATGCCATCCCATCACCTTCTCTTATTATGTTTCTCCCATGCAGCAGTGGCTGTGCTGCTCTCCAATGTGTCCTTGCTAGAACTCCTGCAGAAGGTTTTGGAATGCACCTGGTTGCGGTCCCCGCCCTCTGGACCTGCTTACCTGTCATCTGAAGATGCCTTGCTGTGCTCTGGATGGCTGTTGGTTGCATCCCTTTTGCTTTATCAGCATCGCTACAATACTGAGGTTAGTACCACTCTAGTGTTCAGAGTCAGCACATGGCTAAACCTTAAAAATAAATATGTGTGTGTATATATATATATAATATATATATAATATCTTCATTAGCACAGGAAAGTCGTTTGCTTTGGCCTGGAATCTGATTGCCTTGATTCCTCTTTTGTTATTGTCCACAAGTTATTTCCTGCTGCAAGTTATTCTCCAGCAGGACTGGAAGCTAGCATGTTGCTGAAGGCTGAGACAGGAATTATGTAAGAGTTAGAGAAGGGCACAAATCCTGGGGGTGAAAGTGCATACCCAGCCCTCCTGATCCAAATCACTTTCCTCTTTGGGACAGAGCAAAATGTACTTTAAGGCCTTTCTCAAGGAAAGACTGGGGGTGGAAGACACAACTCCCATGTTGTAAACTGCTTTTTTGGTACTAAAATGATCAATAGTGAAACAGTCACAATCCAAACCTACTATTGGTAAGTAAGTGTTCAATATTAGCAAGCTCTTATGAATGTGGGCAGCTGTCATTGTATCTGATGCTTTGCAGTCCGACAAGAGAGCTAAGCTGGAGTTGTCAGCTAATAATAGAATTACAACTTTGAGGGAAGCACTTTTGAATGCCATCACAAGGGAAAATATTTCCTTTTGAAGTAACTACCCAAGCCTCTCTTGCTGCTGGCTTTAGCAGAAGCCTGAGGATAAACATGGATGGCAGGCTGTCAAAGGCTTTGGCCTGTCAGTTCTCAGATGAGTAACCACTGCCCCTATGTTGTAGCAGCTACTCCTAGCTCTCCTATTGAAGGAGTGAACCCAGTGGCCCTTATGCCTGCCTTCCCATACCAACTCTCAGTCTTACTGAAGAGTTTGAACCCTTCTGGGGCTCTCTCTGAGGCTTCATGGCACTGCTGCTCGATGGCTGCTCTGTGAGGGAAACAGCATATTGCAGACTGCCTTCTCAAGCCGACCTTTCCTGTTTCCCCTAGTTCCCATGTCCCTAATCTGCTCTCCTCCCTTCACCCATGCCATAGTTCTATCCCTGGGCTCTCTGCAGGCTTCCCAGCTCCAGCAGGCAGGGACAGCTTCTTGCCACTGATGACTTTTGTCTGCCTAGCTTGTCAGTCTTGCTGGCTGGCTGCTACTGCATGTGCTCAGCAGTCTGACAGCCACATGCCAAAAGGCCTGCAGGGAGTAATGAGAGTGAGACAGACAAGTAAGTTACACTGTGGTTTGGAAGCTGTGCAGGACTGGCAACTGGTGGTGAGTGAAACTTGAGGGCCTAATGATGTAACTCTCCTTTCTGGGTCAGTCTCCTGAAATCCTGTTGCTGTTCCCTTGTTTTTCAATGGTCATCATGGGGTAGCATCTAATGACTGGAAATATGTAAGGGAGATTTTTATCTGGTCCAAACCAGCACCCTTTTTTCTCTTCTATATAATTCTCCTCTAGGTTCACCAAACACTCTCTCTAGACCTAACAGAAGTCCTCAATGCAGTCATCTTCAGGAATAAGAAGCCAGTCCTGCTCTTAGGTATTTTGCATCTGGAAGCAGCCACTAGTACCATGCTACAAGCAACAAGGGAGAACTGGTGACTATGGAATGGGATGGTGGAGATGCTGGAGGGAATCTGGAATCTTTGGTCCATTTGGCATAACTGATCCATAAGTGTGTAACTGGTGGTGAGAAAGAGCAAAAGGGAACTGTCTGGAGTTCTGCTGTGTTTGGACAAATCTTCCTTAGAGGTTGGTAGTGACATCTGGAACTGAGTGTGAACTGTGATAGTGTCTCGAGGAAGGAGATGAACATGGGAACTCATGTTGCCATTCCTGTTTGCAGCTGTTAGCAGCTGTCAAACAACTCTGGTGGGCTCTTAAGCTCAAATTTTCTCTCCTCACCCTCTCCCATGCTATTGCACAGGCACCAACACACAGGGCAGGGCAGAGGAAAACACTGACACACACTAATAAGCATCTCCCTGTCTAGTGAGCATCATGCAGTTCCTGAGAGCTGCTCTGCGCCAGAACTTCTCCTCCTCTCTGCTGGTGATCGCTGGCAAAAACACGGACCAAGGTGCTACTCAACCACAGCCATCATCATTGCAGGATGCTGCCTTGCACCCCCTTGCCACACAGCAGGTCTTCTCACTTGTTGTCAGTCTGCAGAACCTTTTGGTGCAAGTCCAGTTGCAGGTATGTAAAATATGACTTTTGGAACAACACAAGTGTTGGGCTTCAAGCAGGAACATTAACCACAGCAGAAACCACCCTATTGCAGAATCTAAGGGGCTGCCTGTTTTTTTTCCTTCTGCCTGCATTTTCCACCCCTTACAGACATGTGATGAGGAGGAGGGAAAATGCTCTTGCTGCAGTGTAGTGCAGTGAGAAAGAAGGTAAATCAAGCTATGCGGTGCTCCCTGCTGCTGAACTGGGTAGCTGAAATTCTGTGTACTAATGACAGTCTCTGTTTTCCCATCTCCAGCTCTGCAGGGGTGCAGAGGTCCACAGGGACAGACATGGGAAAAGTGTAACAAATCCCAGTCTCTCCACTACCCACCAAAAGCAAGGTGCTTTTGTGTGTAGTAAGTGCATCAGCATACATTTAACTTGCTCAAGTGATGCTGTGCTCCTGGGGTAATACATCAGTTTACATTTAACTCTCTTAAGCGATGTTGGGCTCCTATCTTTATTTTTTGGAGGCTGTTACTTAATATTTTTTTAGTCTCAGAATAAGTAGTCATGCCTTTGTCTGGCTCCTTGATGTGACAGATAATTTGGAGCACATTGCATCCCATGAAGGAGATGAAAGGTGTTAGTTTCCTGTGCTTCAGATCCTGCCCTTTATGAATTTTCCTCTTGCATTAGCTGTTGACTGGGTTTGTTGGGGTTTTTCTCTTTCCTTTCCTTCTTTTTTTCTTTTTTTGATATTCCAGAAAGACTTGCTTCTCTCTCAGGCTGTGGTTGCCTGCCTGGAAACCTTAGTGGAATACCTGTATGTGAAGAACCAAGATGTTGGTAAAGTCTTCCTGCTTTTTCTTCTTCTGGTTTCCCTCTTGCAGTGATTTTGAGCTCTTTGATCTCTATCCAGTAGCACTCTGGAGCAGATGCTTAATGAGTTTATGCCCAATATGAAAAATTATTTGTATGCCTAAAGTTAATCATGTGCTTGTGGGGTGAAATCACAGTGCCTGACTCCCCTGGAGGCATGTGCCCTCACTTTGGCTTTGGACACTGAGATGCTTTCCAGAAGGTAAAAAGGCATTCTCCACCCCTATAAGAGTAAAAGGTTTGGGAATGGAAGGAGCATAGGAATAGGCTTTTACTTCCAGGCCAATTGTATCAAACCTTTAGACCAAAAATATAGTGGGGGAGGATCTGAACGTGATGTGTCTTACAAGGATAATGTTGGTCACAGTTTGGCCCTGAGGGAAGGGAGAACAGGGTACTAGGCAGCCTTAGGGAATGAAAGACAGAAATTCTAGATTTGCAGGGGTGAGCGCTAACCTTGGTTTCCAGAGTCCATGTCAGACCTGATGTATACCATCAGGTATACAATATAGCTTGCAATATAACATAATATGACAGCATTGTACAGTTGAGGGGGAAGCCTCAAGCCACAAAGTCCAGGTGCTGGCTCTGTTCTTAAACCAGAAAGTTCTCTGCTCACTTCAGTCATTTAAACACTAAGAAAGAAGGGGATGGAATGAATGAACACCAGACAAAAGGGACACTGGTGGGAGAGATGAAGCGGTTGGATGAAGATGTAATACTGCAGATGAATGACAGCCAGTAGCTGATGGGAGGCTATTGAAAGGCTGGGTTAAAAATAAAAAAAAAGTGGCATGTTATGGGGAGGCTCTGCTGATTTGGGATTAAGGTAATGGAGTGCTGCTTCAGCAACAGCTGAACCTGTCACTTTGGCTGCTGTGGTGCTGAAGTTCACAACAGCAATAAGAGGAGTCTCCTTATTCCAAGCCGAACGAGGGTCATAGCTGGGTTTGGCTGAAAAATGCAAGAACACTGGAAAGAGTGTTTCCTGGACTCTGCCTCTAGGAGTTGATTCATCTGAGGCTTTTTAAAACCGTTTCTCAGTCCAGAGATTTTTCCAGAATTGCAGAGCAGGCTCAGTGCTGGTACTTTCTTATTTCTAAAAAATACCCCCAAAATATTTTACATTATTTTTAGTGTCGTTTTCCTATAGAAAAGATTCTTGTAGTGGCAATAGGGAGGTTATGTGACTGCCGGTGGAAAAGAGGCCTTTCTAACACTCTCCTGAGTTGCCATGGTATAACAAGTTATATCAGCTGACCTGTTGTAGTTGTTTATCCCATACTTCTAACCTGCAATAAATACAAGGTAATAAAATTTTAATTTTAGCATTTAATGAGAGACTTCATGCCACCACAGACTTATGAGCCTTACCTCCTACGTGTTTATCATGTATGTTCCTTAGTAAACTGACTGTTTGCATTGCTGCCATCAGCCTGGCTGGTCCCCACAGTATGCTGTCTGATGCAGATCCAAGCTCAGTTTGTGCAGCTTCTGTTGTAGGGCTTTCTTCATTCCCCAAAGGGTACTCTGCAGCTAAATAAAAACTGCGGTCAGGAGAGTTGTCCTCATATTAAAACCAGAGGTTATTATTTTTGAAACCCCAAGATAAAGATATTCCCTTACTATTTTATGACATGCACCCCAGGAGAAGGTTTCTCTTCTGTACCAGCACAAAGATGGACAAAATGTATTTTCTGCTTTGAAAAGCTATTAAGCTTTTGTCCTTTTGACTAAACTTGCCCTAAGAGTGACAGATTAAAAAGCAAGTAAGAACATAGCAAACTATCCCCTTAGTGTTTCACAGCATGGGGTCTAGAAGAGAAAACTTGGGGTCAGTATTGAAGATTGTCCTTAGCTGGGTTCAGCCTGTCACTTGGGCAATTTTACAGCTGTCTTTCATTGGCTTCTCCTTCTGTCCCAGCTCTACATGTTGCTTCACAGCCATGGCACCGATTCCTGCTCTTCACACTACTCAGTGGGGGCCAGAAGTCCTTTCTGCAGCCAGAGGTTCTGAGGCTGATGACTTTGGTGAGCAGGAGAAGGGCAAGCTGTTCTCCATTTTTCCCAGTATGTTGGTACAATGCACGTGGGTCAGTTATTGGAACTTAACCTGCTACACACACCCAATCTCAGATACTGCTGTGGCTTTGTCTGGCACTATATTAGTGACCTATATTAATAATGATACTTTCGAGTGAACTTCCCTTCCACACCCTGCAGAAACTGACTGCTGTTAGCGAGTACTTCCTGTTCTTCTGGTGTTTGCAGCATTTATTTATAACATCTAGGACCCCTGGGGGGAGAGAGGAAACCTGCAGAGAACATACAACTGCTGTTACCAGTCAGGGAGCAAGCTGACTGCTTGGCATCACAGCTTGTCTCCCCATCTTCAGCCTTACAGACATGACTTTTCAGGGCAGGGAGTTAGCACAGTATACTACCTTGCTGTATGTGGGGCCTGTGGGCTAGAGGGGGAATGTGGTCCTACCCAGCAGAAATACTGAAGATAAAGCCCTCTTGGCAGTGGATGAGAGGAAGGGGCTACTAATGCGAACCTTCCCCCTCCAAATACAAGATGGGTCTGTGAGTATTTGCTGCTTTATTTCAGTTTTAAAAGGTTACCTGATTTATTTCAGTTACTTCCCGACCTAAACCAAAATAAATATGGCTATAAATCAGAGCACTGTAAACACAGATACTTGCACTGGTTCTATTAGAGGTGGTATAAAAATCAGGCCTGTGGTTAGGGTGTTGCAGCATCCCATTACATAGAAGAGGTCTTTGCAGGCGATGAGTCACTGTTGCAGTCTGCGGGTCTTTCACTATTTAATGCCTCTATTTTTTCCTTTGTTCAAGTTTGTGAGATATCAGAGCAGCAATATTATTTCTCGAAAAGAAATTAGCCAGATTCTTCAGGAGGCAGCAGAAGCCAACTTAGCAGAACTGCCTGAGGCCACATCTTGTGCTCTTTACCTCTTCCTTTGTCAGGTAAGAAAGCAGTGACTGCCGAGGAAAATTGGAAGAGAATCCCTGGGTGTTTGCTTTAGCCTTTGATGGGGAGCCATAAACTTCCTTTTGAGGAGGCTATGGTAAGATGAAGAGGAATCCTGCAGCTGCTGCCTTGGCCTACTGCCCCGAGGGGTGTACAGTGGAATCAGAAAGGGAGTGATGCCAGCCACTGCCTAAACTATGTCATCAGATTGGGCGGCCCCTTGATTACCCCCCAGATCAAAGTCTGAAGATTTCGTTGCTCTGTGTGGAGATGAGGGAGGGAGTATGAAGGAACAAACCCAACAGTTTTCTGGAACAGTTGGCCATTCTTTCTTCTGACTGCTCAGATTCAGAGCAGTCATTACCAGGTGGAGCCAGTGCAGTCAGGGACCATTCAGACCTTGCTGGATCGTCTCCTGGGACAGAGGACCACATGTGTAAAACATCAGGACATTGTGTATCCTTTGCTGGGCAAATGCCTTTGATAGGTGATGTGAGTGGTAGGTGTAACAAAGGTTGGAAGGGATACTTAAGCTGCTGTTCCTTCTCTTATTCCAGCTGAAGGCAAACAAAATTGAAAAACTGAGTGATTGCTACACTTGACTAACTTTGGGATGAAAGACTTCATCATCTCCTAATCTGAGAAGATGTTTGGGAAATGCAGAGACATTTGGGATGAATGATGGGTCTCTGTGCGGGGCTTGCATTCATCTATAAGGCAGAGGTGGTCTGATGAAAGGGGAACAGGTTGGGGAGTCTGACTTCAAAGCAGTAACGATCTCTGTATTGATTTTCCTGGAGTATGAGCAATGAGTTAACCTCTGTCTGCATGCTGGCTACTGCTGGTATGCCTGTGAAGTAGTGAAACCCCAAAGATGACTCAGGCACTTTCAAAGTGCAGGGAGCATTTGGGAACCAGTGAGGGGAGTTAGCAAATTTTATTCTGCTTGGCCCTAGAGTTGCCCGCTGAGAACTGAATCCTTCTTTTCTCTGGGGATGGAGTCGGGGCCACTCCCAGATTCCTTGTGGAGAAAGAGGGAGCCTGGTGCAATATTTGGTTATTTCCCAAACTTTTCTTTGCCTTCCTGTTTTCATCATGCTGCATTGCCTTGCCTCGGACATATAGCAGTGATGGAAGTGGCCAGGGCACTGATTTCCTGTTGGTAGGGGGTCTTCCTTCACTGTGGAACACCATCATCAGCCATATGCAGGATGTGCAGTGGGTGAGGTATTTGTTCCATGAGGAGTAGCTTGTCTTTGTGCTTACCCCCAGTGTGATACTACTTCTCTGTTGTGGGACACCGAGAGGGCAAGTTGTCCTGGTGGAAACCATCCAGATAGTCATGAACAGGGAAGACAAAATCCTCTGGTCAAACTCAAGCTTTGACATCAGTTTTGTTGAGAAAGAATTTTTCTTCTGGTTTACGTACACTGATGTTTTTCGCATATGTTGGGAGTGGGGCTCCATGGCTCGGGGAGGCTTGGTTTAGTAATGAAAACCTCCTGTCAGTGGTATGTCAAATGTGGGAATTCCCATAGCATGCTGGAGTTCAGCCATGCCTTTCCTTTGGTTTCCACTCATGATGCCAATGACAGATGTCTGGGAAGCGTGGCAGTGTCCCTCTCACACATTGGCAACTGAAATGAGAAGATGCGGTGTGCAGAGCAGAGGAAAAAGGCAAGAATGGAGCAGAAGACCCCATCCTGCCATTTATTCCCAGTGAATAGTAGAGAGAGAAGATGGACAAAGGAAGTAATTTGTTGCTCATTTTGAGAAAAAGGTTTGCTGAAACTCATTTATAAAGTTCTGTTGCTGAAACGGCTCAGTTTCCTTTTCTGTGCAGGGTGAGGCTTGGTTGATGCCCTTCAGCTATCAAACTACAGACCTGCCGGGGGAAACGATGGCATAGAGGGATGCCATGGAAGAGGTGCTCTGCTCATCCGCCTTGGCTCATGGCTCTCCGGGATGGCCCCTTAGCTCTGGGCTGGCAGGGGCAGCGGGGGCTCAGCGAGGACCCCGGGGAAGCAGGATATGCCGCGTGTGCCACGGTGCTGAGTAGACTTCTTCCAGCTCACGAGTGACTCCTTCGACTACAGCTCCAGCCCCCACTGTCCTGTTGCCCACACCCTTAAAGTGTCCTGTTCCCGTCGAGGCTCTAATTAACGGGGTTCCTTCCCTCGCGGAGCCGGGAGAAACCCTCCCACAACGAGAGCAGCCCCGACGGGGGGAAACCTCCCAGCGCCGGAGGCCCAAACCCGGACAGCCCCGCCGGTGTGGGGCCGGTGCCGGGGCGGGGCGGGGACTCAGGAAGTGACACGGCGGGGCGGAGCGGGGAAGCGGCGGCGGCGGCGGCGGCAGCGGCATGGCAGCGCGGCGGGCGTGAGCGCCGGCCTCGGCACCCGGCACCCGGCACCCGGCTCCCGGCCCGCAGGTGAGGGACAGCCTGAGGGGGCGGCGGGGAGCCTTCCCCGTCCCGGGAGTCACAGCGGGGCCGGAGGGCACTGCCCGGCCGCGGCAGGGCAGGAGGGAAGGGCGAGAGCAGCCCGGGCACCGCTCCGGGGACACGGCGGGGCGGGGGTGGCCGGGAGCGGTCCCGGGGAAGGGCCCTTCTGGGCAGCCGGGGTGGCCGGGGAGCGGCGCGGGCAGTGCGGCCCCGAGGCACTTCGCTGGACTCTGGGTTAAAGGGCTGTGCCCGACGGGCTCTGTCTGCCATCGCCGCCCTGGCCCCGCGCTGGAGCGGCGGGAGGAGCGGACCTCCGCAGCCCGGGGAGCTGCCGTCCTGCCCCGAGGGTTCGCATCCCCCATGTGCCGCCTGCTGCGTCCACTTGACACGGCTCCGGCTGGGTTACCCGCAGCGCGGCCACGGTACTGTCGGCTAATCCCGTTTCCACTCCACTGTCCCTGTGTGACTGCCGTTAGTTTCAGCGATGCTTGCGGGAGAATCTCCATCTCCCTGTGCCCGCGGCCACCTGAGACCCTCGGGGTGCTGCTGACCCCCTCCGGCAGGACGGGAGGCTAGGGATGGGCTGGGATGGACCCGTTCCTGATGGAAATCACATCACCTCGCTAGCTTCTGCCGGGGATGACAAAACTGTGGTGCGTGAGCTCTGGGGTTGGCGGCTGGGGGACTTTGGAGACAAGCAGATGTAAATGGCCGGTGTTTCAACTGAAGCAGCTGGTCCTGTAAGCCCCATGGGGAACTGTCCAAGCAGAAGTCTGAGCAGCAGTGTTTCACTTCCAAAGCTTTTCATTCAGTTGTGACAAGAGATTAATCCTCATATGGTTGTTGGAGAAGCGGCTCGGGAATGGATTCATGGGGCAGGGAGTTTTCATTTCTTGTTTTGCCACAGTGTGCTCCTGGCACAGGCAGGCTGATGATGCTTTCCCCCTGCAATTCAGTGCCCTGCGGAGGAGAGATAGGGGGTACTGCAAAAGTCCCTCTTGAGAACCAAAGCGTGGCAGCATGGCTCTGCCTTGCAAGCTCATTAAGTGAATAAATCTCAGGGATGCTTGGTTCAGACGAGCCTCTTGCAGGAAAATTTATAAAGTCATTAAAAACATTTTAATGGAAAGTACTAACCATCTATAACACGGCATCTGTTGTCATGTCTTTGGGAAAACACATCTAAATTAAGAGGATGGGAGACAGTGAGACAGACTGGTGGGCTTTCTGCTGAAACAGACAGCTGGCCAGGGCTGTGAGGGAATATCGGTGGAAACTCCTTCCCATCTGTAGCATCAGGCCAGGCCTTGGCTCCCTGGACTGCTCTGGGAGCATGAGGCAGAGCTGTCTTTGGCAGGAATCAGTTCAGCAAGGAGTAGGGAGGAGCAGCTCTGTGGTGTTTCCATCTCATTCCTCAGCAGGTGTGAAGACAGAGAGTTTGTGGGGAAAGTGTGGAGGAACATCTGCAAGGAGCTTTGGCATCTCTGCACTTACACAGTCTGGCCTGGAGAGGAGGGAATGTCCTCTGCTGTTAAAATGTGATGAAATGAGCAGGGCAGTGAACGAAAATAAATTTGAGGTGGTCCCACATGGCATCAGCAGCCTCACATTCGCTGTGGGAGAGGAAAACAACCTGGGTCCTGCTTCATTTTTGCTGGGGTGATTCAGCTCTGATGGACAATGTCAGTAATTAGCTTCGATGTGAGAATGAGTGCCAGCAGGAAAGGGGTCAGACCAAAAGGTGATGGGCTTCTAGTATGGTGTGGTTCTCCAGTCCTCTGCTTCCAGCCTTGTCCCGTGGCACAGTCGTTAGGGCTGGTGTAGGAGGATTTGTAAAGTAATTGAAAACATTTTCATTGAAAACACTGACCATATATACTGCAGCATCTGTAGATCATATCTCTGGAAAAGCCCATCACTGTTCTGAGACTTGGAAGCACCCAGGCAGGCTGGTGGACCTTCTACTGCAGCAACCAGCTGTTTGGCAACTGCTTTGGCAGAGAGCTTCACTTTGCTCTGCTGCTGCCTTGAACAGAGTTTCTTGCAGCTGAACTTCTTCCCCCTTGGAGCGACCATTTCATATCCTGCGGCCACCCAGCTCCCATGTTGGAAGCAGAGGATGCAGTAGCCCCCCCCCCGACCAGGCATGCTGGGACTGCCACTGGCAGTGTGGCAGAGCTGTTGTGGGCAGCATTTCTACTGTTTGCCTTCCAGCCTGGTCTGGAGGCCACTGGCTACCTCCAACATCTCTCTCCAATTCTCCATGACCATGGCAAATAACCAACCTGGTCCTTACGGTCACATCTCCGATCCAAGGGGCAAACAGTAGCCCATGTCCCAGGGCAGTCGCACTTAGTGCTTTTGAGTTGCTGCACTTCCTCCTCCCTGAGAGCCTGGGAGGGAGTAAGCAGCTGTGGGGGGCTCTACAGAGGGGAGACCCACACTACCTTGCTGAGCCAGGCCTTGGGTCATGTTTTTTGGCAGGGTGAAGCCGTCTTCTGGGAGCCAACAAGGCTGGTGGGTTTAGCAGAGTATCTGTTTGCCTGGGCTGAAGAATTTTTCCTTACAGCCTTGGCTTGTCAGTGTGCTTTGTGGAGTTCAGGATTGCTGGAATATGGCTTAATCCTAGCACCACAGTGGGCAGAGGCGACAGACTCAGACCTGATGTGGGGGACTTGTGCTGCCGTTCTGGCTCTGCATTGTGTCCGAAACATGGGATGTGTTGTTGAGCCCACACCATGGCCAGCTGTGTCTTCCTCGGTAAAGTTGGTTGTATTTACTCTGATCTGTTCCCTTCCAGGGGTGCCTTTTACAAAGCACAACAGCAAAATAATTCAGAGGGTTTCTCGTGTTTGCCCTACGCTGTTCTCCTTCCCCCATTGGGGTTGTGAAGGTGCTTGGCTCAGCCTCAGCAGGAGGTGTATGGTGGTAGCTGCTGCTGATCTTTGCAAGGCTGGGAGAGCTGCTGGTGCTGCCTGCTTTGCCTCTCTCATGGACCCAGGGTTGAACAAATTGTATTAGTTTTGAAAAAGAAAAACAATAAGAAAAAAACAAGAAGCGATTTGTTTCTGTTCCACTGTTAGGGCATTGCAGAGAGAAGTTTGCCCAGGCAGGCGAGCGTGGGCTCAGGAAGTCAGTGTGTCAGAGGGTGAGGGCAGCTCTGGTGGCTTTACACATCTGCCTTTACCTCAGGAACAGGGGGCAGCATGGGCAATGCCTCTGAAGGAGCTACTGCCTCTGTAATTGCCAGTGGCTGCTGCTTGACTCAGTGGAAACCTTGTCCCTGCGGATGGGCCACCACCTCGAGTTCTGCTGCCTGGAAGCTGAGCCTCATTCTCAAGGACCATCTCCCCCAGCCTCTCCTCTGCATGTTGGCTGTGGATGAGGGACCCTTGTAGTCAGGAGCAGCTCTGCCCAACAGCATCTCTACAGAGCCTCAGACACCACCGCCTGGGGAGGGACTTGTTTGGGGTAAGGGGGAAGTTACCACCAGGTCACCCAACTGTTGCTTTTTGGTGTGGGGCCTGCAGCTGGCACCTGGCTGATAGTGAGGGAAAGGGTCCAGGTACCAGCACCCCAAGGGGTGAAGGGAGATGGCTGAGTGTGTTGCTCAGCCCCTTGGCAATCCTCACCATCCAGCCCTGCTGTTTCAGTTGCTGGGCTGCTCTAACTCACAAACCCAGCAAAAAGCTAGCTGTTATTTTTGGGAGAACAGGTAGGACTTAATTTTTCTTCTGGGTCAGTGCTGAGTCAGATCCCTGGGGGCCCAGCCAACAATGGAGGCAGGTAGAGAGGAGGAGGAGAGAGACCTCACAGGGGAGAGCAGGCTGGCTGCAGCATCACCCCGTGGCTCTGCTCTGGTGACTGTCTCCCTCAAACCCTCACGGGGACAAGGGAGAGGCGGGCAAGGACCCTGATGCCAAATGCAATGTGCTGTTGGTCTCAAGTGGTTTGTGTGACTTTTCCTTTTCATAAGTCTCCTCACTGGTTGTTGGTTTTGTTGGTCTGTTTTTTTCCAGGTTGCAGTGGCCAACATGGATTTTTTCTTCACCTGCCCTTTTCTGCTGGTGCTGCTGCTACCTCGAGGCAGCTTCGCAGACCTGGAAAAACAGAGGGTAGACTCTGGCTTGGAAATCTGTATCCTCTGCAGCCTGCTCCTTGTGACTCAAATACGCGCTCATGCCTACTGAGGCTGGAGGGAGCTCATGTGCAGGGAAAGGGTCAGAGACCACAGAAAAGGCACAGGGAAGTGGAAAAGAGAGAATCCAGAAGCACTGGGAAATTGCTGCTTTGCTCTTCTGTAGAAGGGTTTTAGCCAAGCTCCTGGGTTTGCTAGCCAAGTGCCTGGCTTGGTGCAGGAGCGGAAATGGTGGTG